CCATTATTTGTTATATTGACAGAAATAAACTTATTTTGGTTTCTGTGTAGTATACACAAGACAGATATTCCCCTTTGTTCAGTGAAGAGGTATTATTTACCTCCGCTTCAGTAAATAAAAGTTAATTATAGCTTATATATTCTTCATCGTTTATTAATATACATATTGTTTGAAAAAGTTTTGTCGAGTGTTTTTAAAACAAGCCTTTTGCTTGGAAGACTAGGCATTCACTCCCATATTTTAGACATTAAATAAAGTTATCCTTATCCATATTTTCACAGAGTCTGTATCAAAAATTCATTCAAACTGATTGAGAGTAGCAGGTCTTTAGTATTTTAATTTTATGGAAAGAGGAATGTAAGTATATAAAAGAAAGAAAAAAACTCTATAGTCGATATGCCCCGTACAAGTAAATAAGATGCTAGTCGGGAGCCTGATAAACTTGTGATGTTTATGACATCAAAGTGAAAAATCCCTGTGGGATATGTTACTCTAACTGTGGTTGCGCTCCTCCCTTTTGAAATAACAATTGTGTTCTTTTGTTTTCTTTCCTTACTGGTCTAAAAACATATTTAACCCTGTTACATAGTCGTGTAAAAATAAAGCTTTCGAAGCTGACCCTTACGAAATGTCAAAGTTGGACTGAGACCTCAAGATACATGCGCCATCTATTTTTATAAGGTTTTCATTTTCTTTTCCTTTGTTATTTTTATTTTGGATTTTAGGTCACAAAAGTGTCAAAGGGTGTTACGGTCAATATTAGTATTATGCGTTGTATGACAGTTTAAAATTGCTTAATTGCACGCCATTACCAAAGAAAAAATGCTAATTTCCCTGAAGCCAGTTGGTTTTGAGATCTCTGGGGCACGAACACGGTCACGACTGCAGGTGCTGACGATACTTGATGTATGTTTTCAAATAAAAGTTCAACAGCATATAAACTGCCTTCTGGCCATATGCCTGACAGTCGAACGATTTTAAATTTGACAGTATTTTCACATCTAAGTCAAATAAACACAATCTCCTTTTATCTGGCTTATACGTTGTTCAGCCACCTTACATGGTCTTCTCACGTGCACCTCCTTCTGTATACATGATTCCACTCACATAAAACCTTCTTTTGTTTTCCTTGAAGTCTTGAGCTATTATGTAACAATTTTGCTCCAGTCTGGTCAATGTCAAGTGTGGAGGGTGCCAGTTATTTAATTGTACATAATCTGAAATTTTTATTCTTAATTTGTAAGTTAGCATAAGTATGGATAGTGTTATTTTCAATTCTATCTACCGCACAGGTGAATAGTGCTTGTCACGCACCCTTATGTTCTGGCTCAGAATTGATTAGCAAAAATTGCTTTCTCCGAGCAGCCGAACAGACAATATCGGACGTCAACAATTTAATTTCGGACTATTTTTTTGTATATTGATAAGAACAAACTACTCTTTCTGGTTTCTGTGTAGTATATGCAAACATGAATTCACCTTAGTGTCAGTGAAAGTGGTAGATATTTACATGTACCTCCACTTCGGCGAATACTTGTAAATTATAGCTTACATATTCTCTATTGTTCATCAATGTGCACACTGTTTAAATTTAGGTTTTGTCGAGCGTTTTTACAACAAGCCTTTGGTTCGGGAGACTAGGCGTCCACTCTCATGTTTTAGACATTAAATATAGCTATCCTTATCGATATTTTGACGGAGTTTGCACCGAAAAATTGATTCAAACTAGTTAAGAGTAGCAGGTGTTGTATATTTTAATTTTATGGAGCAAGGAATCTATTACGAAAAAGAAAAAGGTTTTTTACTTGCTATAAAAATAAAGCTTTCGAAGTTGACCCTTACGAAATGTCAAAGTTGGACTGAGACCTCAAGATGCATGCGCCATCTTTTTTTAAAAGGTTTTCATTTTCTTTTCCTTTGTTATTTTTATTTTGGATTTTAGGTCACAAAAGAATGCAAAGTGTCAAAGGGTGTTACCGTCAATATTAGTATTATGCGTTGTATGACAGTTTAAAATTGCTTAATTGCACGCCATTACCAAAGAAAAATTGCTAATTTCCCTGAAGCAGGTGCTAACGATACTAGATGGATGTTTTCAAATAAAAGTTCAACAGCATGTAAACTGCCTTCTGGCCATATGCCTGACAGTCGAACGATTTTAAATTTGACAGTATTTTCACATCTAAGTCAAATAAATACAATCTCCTTTTATCTGGCTTATACGTTGTTCAGCCCACTTACATGGTCTTCTCACGTGCACCTCCTTTTGTATACATGATTCCCCTCACATGAAACCTTCTTTTGTTTTCCTTGAAGTCTTGAGCTATTATGTAACAATTTTGCTCCAGCCTGGTCAATGTCAAGTGTGGAGGGTGCCAGTTATTTAACTGTACATAATCTGAAATTTGTATTCTTAATTTGTAAGTTAGCATAAGTATAGATAGTGTTATTTTCATTACTATATACCGCACAGGTGAATAGTGCTTGTCACGCACCCTTATGTTCTGGCTCAGAATTGATTAGCAAAAATTTCTTTCTCCGAGCAGCCGAACAGACAATATCGGGCGTCAACAATTTAATTTCGGACTATTTTTTTGTATATTGATAAGAACAAACTACTCTTTCTGGTTTCTGTGTAGTATATACAAACATGAATTCACCTTAGTGTCAGTGAAAGTGGTAGATATTTACATGTACCTCCACTTCGGCGAATACTTGTAAATTATAGCTTACATATTCTCTATCGTTTATCAATGTGCACACTGTTTAAATCTAGGTTTTGTCGAGCGTTTTTACAACAAGCCTTTGGTTCGGGAGACTAGGCGTCCACTCTCATGTTTTAGACATTAAATATAGCTATCCTTGCCGATATTTTGACGGAGTTTGCACCGAAAAATTGATTCAAACTAGTTAAGAGTAGCAGGTGCTGTATACTTTAATTTTATGGAGCAAGGAATCTATTACGAAAAAGAAAAAGGTTTTTTGCTTGTCATAAAAATAAAGCTTTCGAAGTTGACCCTTACGAAATGTCAAAGTTGGACTGAGACCTCAAGATGCATGCGCCATCTATTTTTAAAAGGTTTTCATTTTCTTTTCCTTTGTTATTTTTATTTTGGATTTTAGGTCACAAAAGAATGCAAAGTGTCAAAGGGTGTTACGGTCAATATTAGTATTATGCGTTGTATGACAGTTTAAAAATTGCTTAATTGCACGCCATTACCAAAGAAAAATTGCTAATTTTCCTGAAGCAGGTGCTAACGATACTAGATGGATGTTTTCAAATAAAAGTTCAACAGCATGTAAACTGCCTTCTGGCCATATGCCTGACAGTCGAACGATTTTAAATTTGACAGTATTTTCACATCTAAGTCAAATAAACACAATCTCCTTTGATCTGGCTTATACGTGGTTCAGCCACCTTACATGGTCTTCTCACGTGCACCTCCTTTTGTATACACGATTCCCCTCACATAAAACCTTCTTTTGAAAAGCTAAAAAATGGACAATAGAACAAAATCAAATTACAATAAGATAGAATATTGTCTTGGTAACGGTTTAGAGTTATTGTCTGCGCCGACAGTTTTTGCGGTATGTCAAGATTCTAGTGTTTTCTGAACGCGGTAATTGCCTTTGTCTATCACGGTAGCGCCCTAAAAGTCAATCGCGTGATTGTTTTCCAACGCATGGTTGGCAATGTTCGAGCCACTCGTCTAGTTTTTAAGATTTCGTTGATGTTCCTTTCTTCGGGTTTTAAAGCATCTGCCAGTTTCTCCTACATAACACCAACAGCAGTCAGAGCACGGAATTTTGTAGACAACATTGCATTGTAGATCTAAGGGCTGCCTGAACTTAGGTGACGGAAATTCTTGTTGCAGGGTTTTAGCTGGTTTGCTAACCACACGAATGTCATTTTTACGTAGTAATCTGGTAAGGGGCTCAGTCAGGCCGCTGATGTAGGGAAGACAAGCGAAACCCAGAGATGTGTCTGATGGATCGGCCCATTTGAAGAACATGGACACTAACTCTTCTGATAGAGGAGTTGTCGGAGCTGACTTCTTTTTTAAAATGTTGGAAATAACTATTGATGGATAACTATACTATGATGGATAACTATTGTCCATTTTTTAGCTTTTCACACTTCTATTGTATTTTTTAGTTTTTAATTTTTTCACACCCTCTCCTGTATATATTTCCATTCACGCGCTTTTTTACATTCGTTAAAGGCTATATAGCTATCCTTATCGATATTTTGACGGAGTTTGCACCGAAAAATTGATTCAAACTAGTTAAGAGTAGCAAGTGTTGTATATTTTAATTTTATGGAGCAAGGAATCTATTACGAAAAAGAAAAAGGTTTTTTACTTGCCATAAAAATAAAGCTTTCGAAGTTGACCCTTACGAAATGTCAAAGTTGGACTGAGACCTCAAGATGCATGCGCCATCTATTTTTAAAAGGTTTTCATTTTCTTTTCCTTTGTTATTTTTATTTTGGATTTTAAGTCACAAAAGAATGCAAAGTGTCAAAGGGTCTTACCGTCAATATTAGTATTATGCGTTGTATCACTGTTTAAAATTGCTTAATTCCACGCCATTACCAAAGAAAAAATGCTAATTTCCCTGAAGCAGGTGCTAACGATACTAGATGGATGTTTTCAAATAAAAGTTCAACAGCATGTAAACTGCCTTCTGGCCATATGCCTGACAGTCGAACGATTTTAAATTTGACAGTATTTTCACATCTAAGTCAAATAAACACAATCTCCTTTGATCTGGCTTATACGTGGTTCATTTTCTTTTCCTTTGTTATTTTTATTTTGGATTTTAGGTCACAAAAGAATGAAAAGTGTCAAAGGGTCTTAGCGTCAATATTAGTATTATGCGTTGTATCACTGTTTAAAATTGCATGATTGCACGACGTTATCAAAGAAAAAGAATGCTAATTCCCCTGTAGCTAGTTAGTTCGAATTCTCCGTTGTGCGAACAGTTACTGGTAATACTAGATGGATGTTTTCTCGTTCTGGTTCATTTTGGCCTCATATTCGGTTAAAGCATTTGCTCAGCAATGTAAGTTGACGCAACGATCTGAACATGGCTTAGTTCTCCTTGATCACGTGTTCAAATCATTCGCTGTGGATCGGTTGGCTTCGTGTTATATTGCCTGCAATTCACAACCTGCGTGCCAAAGTCTTAACTTCAGGCTAAGTGACAAAACTTGCCAGTTTAACAAAGAAACTAAGATTTCCTGCCCGGCTTGTCTGAAGCAGAATGAAGGGTTTATTTATGCTGATAACCCAGATAGAGGTGAGAATATCCTTAAAACAAATTTTTTTCCCTTGTTATTTCGACAACTGAAGAAATTGGAAGACATGATTTCTAGGGACTTGGTTACGTAATGAGTCCACTTAATTCTAAGGTCTCAAGTATACGTAATTAGTCTGCGTCATTCTGTCAAATAGCAAACTTCAAACGTTAAATTTGCTAGAATCTAACCTATCGTCAAATGGACCTATTTCTAAGAGCCAAACGGCATAAAAACTGCCCAATTAAGAACACCCTTTACTTATGGTATTATCAAAACTTTTGCTTGCTTGTCATCAACTGCAGATTAAGATGTAAAGCGATCAATACGTTGTAACAAGTACTTTCATTCATAAATGTTAATTGTGTTCTCTTCAGTTGTAATATGTTGATTACGCATGCAAAGTATAATGATTTGTTTGCGTATTTTTCGTTACAGCTTTACTCGGGTCAGTTCCCTTCAGAGCTGCAGAGTCCTGTCGACATATCATTCAGAGTGGAGATTCCACTGGGAATGGAGAGTACTGGGTCGACCCACAAGGGAATGGAAACTCCTTCAAGGCTTTCTGTGACATGACAATTGATAGAGGTACCTTGCGGTTTTTATTTTGCTTTCAAATGTTGGTTTTTTTTCTTTGTTCTTTATAGAGCCAGGGTTTTTTTTAATTTATAGGAGGCTGGATGATAGTGTTAAACATTATTTTAGCAAGCTCTCGATCTTCATGGTGGAATGGCACCGCTGAACAAACGTTTCAAGGCATGCGTAACTACGGAAACGGCAAAATGGCTATAACCAAAAGCGCTATGAACCAACTAAGAGCGTATATAAACTTTACCCAAATAAGATTTCACTGCAGCAAAAGAAAAGGAACAACATTCCACGTCAGAACGACTCTGAACAGCAAAGGTGCTGAAGTGGTGCGATATTTCAGCGGGGAAAGAGATGAGATGCCAGACTCGTGTGACTCCTTCGTCCGTATGGATGACGATAACTCAAGACTGGCACAGAATTGTGCGATATGGGCATATGATGGTAAGTGGGGACATGTCAGCCATAATGTTGGAGAGAATCGTCTGTACAACTACGCAGCATTTGTGGCCTTGAGTTATCATTGGATAATTTCTACTGGTGGCCACTGGATGTGCGATGATGATACGAACGACAACCTGTCTACTGGAGACTTTTGGAAAGTTTATGTCCGCTGAAATACAGCTTTTTGTAAAAACTTTGTATTAGGACAAAGCATAAGCGAAAAAGTCAAATGAAAATTAAAATGCATGTAAACTACCGTCAGGCCAATGCCTGACAGTCGAATGATTTTAAATTTGATAGCTTTTTCACATCTCCTTGGATCTCGCTTATATGTGTTTCAGCCACCTTATACAGTCTTGTCACGTGCACCTCCTTTGTATACATGATTCCCCCACAGATGGAATCTGCTTTCGTTTTCCGTAAAGTCTTGAACTATTATGTAACAATTTTGCTCTACCAATGCTAATGCCAAGTGTTTAGAGTGCTAGTTATTTAATTGTACATCTGACATTTTAACTCCTAATTTGTAAGTTAGTATACGTATGGATCTTAGTCTTAGTGTGATTTTCATCACCTTGTACCGCACAGGTGAGTAGTGCTTTTCGCACACCCTTATGTTCTGGTTCAGAAGTGATTAGCAAGTACTAATCACCTCAGAGCAGCCGAAGAGACAAAATTGCGCGTGAACAATTTAATTTCTGACTATTTTTTTTATATAAAATAGAAACAGTTACTGACGGATGGATGTTTTCTCGTTCTGGTTCATTTTGGCATCATATTCGGTGAAAACATTTGCTCAGCGATGTAAGTTGACGCAACGATCTGAACATGGCTTAGTTCTCCTTGATCACGTGTTCAAATCGTTCACTGTGGATCGGCTGGTTTCGTTTCGCAATTCACAGCCTGCGTGTCAAAGCCTTAACTTCAGGCTGAGTGACAAAACTTGCCAGTTCAACAAAGAAACTAAGATTTTCTCCACAAATATGCTTCACTAACGAGTAAAAATGCAATTTTAAAGCCTTCTTTAAAAAAATTCGAACATTCTAATCACGTGACCGGTGACATAACAACCTGAAGGTCGCATAGAGTGTATCTTCATAAAAATATTTACCAACACGTTAGGCTTGTGAAGTGCTTTCAGTTTCTCAGAGCACGTCTTCGCTCTGGGATAAAATGCACTTTTAGACATAGTCAACATGACTGACAACGTCAGCACACCACGTTTGCGGAAAATACATACTTCAGGGCAAGTGTTTTTTTTTCAGGCTTGAACCTGTTTGTTGACATCTCAATACATGCTCATCAAATTTTTTCAATTTTACCTTAAAATCGACCTTCAGAAAACGCTTTGCAGACTTCAGGCGTTCGCTTTGTTCCCTTGCCCAAGTCATTCCCGTAAATTCGTCGCCCAATCCGTTTACTACGTCAGCGAGATCGTCGAAGGCTTGAATCCTCGCAGAACTTATCCAATCGAGACCTTGAAGAGACTTTCGTACAGAGGCGGAACAAACAGTCAGGATTCGCTATGGTCAGACAGTATTGAAGGCACTTTACACCTGTCCGGAACACTGCGTGTCCATCTAATACCTAGGGATGCTCTATGTGCTGGACAGACTGTCGTTTGATCAATATTTCGGGGAGAGAAGAAGGCGGATGCTCTCGCCCGAATCAACATATTATCTATGCCGTGAAACGCAAACATCGCCTTGCGGCCGGTTACATCCCGCTGACAGCTAAGCAATGGAATACATTCCTTTCCTCTGTTCCCGTCTCTTCTGTCGTGACCACTTTGGCCTCCCACAATCGATAGAAATGAACGAGTATTTTCCATAGTTCCTAACTGGCTTGAACCAGTTTCCGTGTATTCAGTTCTTTAAGTTTATTGTCAGAAACTGATTGTTGTAAAATTAAATTAATTACCAGCCAGACAATGTCTGTCTTAGAAGTATTTGATCGTAAAGATACAAAAAGATATAAAGGTCGAAAAGTTTAAAAGGTTTATAAACAGTGCTGTTTTTTGCTCTTTTAATAAAACAATCCCTTTTTTCAGTCAGCCGGAGCGGACAGAAGGATTTTGCTCTATGTCACGCAACTCCGCTACTTATCGGTTTATCTCCTCAATTTACAACTCTGTTGTAACTAATTTAGAGGGTGGCAACATCAGTCAGATTGAAGTTGTTCATTCAGCCAACAAAGCTTGTCACAATTGAATGTTTGTACTAATATATCGTATTTAAGAAATACGTTAAATTTCGGTTTGGAAAAAAGTTATCGTTCCCTTTCAGAAAAAACAAGACGTTTACGTTAAATATTCAAATGTCTCGTATTTGAACTAAATTTTGTTCAACTTCAGAGAGTTCGCGTGAGGCGCAAACTGCGAAGTTGAATATTTATCACCAGACTAGAAGTCAAACTCTCTATGAACTCATGCATCTGTAAATATTTTATCTCGCTTTCTTCCCTTTTGCATGCAAGCGAAGTTTTGAGAAAAGCCCATTTCGTCTGAAATTTTGGTTGTTTTGAAGTCGCCGACAGCAAAAATAGATTTTATTGATTTTCTCTAAATTAAAGCGGCCTTTCTGAAAACAAACTACATTACGTTTAATTACTGATTAATACCTATCCATAGGCAAAATAACAGCGATAAAAATTTTTCGGCTCTGGCCACGAAATTTTAGTTTTGCTCGATTTTTATAGGCATTGGCTCTTAAATTCTGACCAGTTTCTGATGTATTGACAGAAACAAACTAATCGTTTTGGTTACTGTGTAGTGCATACAAAACAGTTATTCACCTCAGTGAAAATGATAGATATCTACCTCCACTTCGGTGAATAATTGTTTATTATAGCTTCTATTCTCCATCGTTCATTAATGTACTCATTGTTTACGACATTACATAAAGTTATCCTTATCCATATTTTCACGCAGTTTGTACTGAAAAATTGATTTTAACTTTTTGAGAATGGCAGGTGTTTCAAATTTTAATTTTATGGAGAGAGGAAAATAAAGTGGAAAAAAAAAAACTTTATTTTCGGTATGCCCTATATAAGCAGATAAGGTGCCAGTCGAGAGCCTTCTCATCTGGTGATGTTATCACACCAAAGTAAAAAATCCCTGTGGGATATGTTATTCTAACCGTGATTGCGTGCCTCCCTTTCGAAATAACAATTGTGTATTTTTGTTTTCTTTCTTTTCTGGTTAAAAACATATTCAAACCTGCTAGATAGTCGTTAATTGATAGATTTGAAGACTTGCTACAAAAGTAAAGCATTCAGAGCTGATCCTTACGAAATGTCAAAGTTGAACTGAGACCTCAAGATACATGCGCTATCTATTCTTTTTTTTTTTTGTATTTTGTATTTCAGGTCAAAAAAGATTGCAAGGTGTCAGCAGTATGTGTTTTATGACCGTTAAAAATGCATGATTGCACGACATCAACAAAGAAAAAAAATGCTAATTTCCCAATAGCCGGTTGGTTTCAAGGTCAAGGTCTTTGGGGCACGAACACAGTCAAGACTGCAAGTACTGACGATACTAGATGGATGTTTTCTCGTTCTGGTTCATTTTAACATCATATTCGGTGAAGGCATTTGCTCAGCGATGTAAGTTAACGCAAAGATCTGAGCATGGCTTGGTTCTCCTTGATCACGTGTACAAATCGTTCACTGCGGATCGGTTGGTTTCTTGTTACATTGCCTGCAATTCACAGCCTGCATGCCAAAGCCTTAACTTCAGGCTGAGTGACAAAACTTGCCAGTTTAACAAAGAAACTAAGACTTCCTGCCCAGCCAGTCTGAAGCAGAATGAAGGGTTTATCTATGCTGATAACCCAAATCGAGGTGAGAATATCTTTAAAACAAATTTTTTTCCCTTGTTATTTTGACAACTGAAGAAATTGGAAGATATAACTTCAAGGGACTTGATTACGTAATGACTCCACTCAGTTACAAGGCCTCAAGAAACGCAGAAGTCTGCGTCATTCCGTCAAAGAGTATTTAAAGGAAACTAAGATTTTGAAGCTGAATGCAGGGTTTATTTATGCTGATAATCCAAATCGAGGTGAAAATATCTTTAAAGCACTTGGGTTTTTTTATTTGTCTGTAAAAAAAGTTTATGGTTAAATTTTTTACATAGTTCTGCCATAATGTTATCAAGCAAACTTGTGTGGGCGAACAAATCTTTTTTCCTTTTTACTTCGACAACTAAAGAAATTGGAAGACATAATTTCAAGGGACTTGGTAACGTAATAAGTCCACTTAGTAACAACGTCTCAAGATTACGTAATTTATCTGCGTCATTCCGTCAAAAAGTATACTTCAACCGTTAGACTTGCTTGAATCTAACCTTCTATCATCAAACGGACCCATTTCTTAGAGCCAAACGACATAAAAACTGTCCTATTAAGAGTACCCTATAGTTATGGTATTATAACTTTTGCTTGCTTGTCATCAACCGCGAATTACGATGTAAAGTGATCATTACGTTGTAACAAGTACTTTCATTTATAAATGTTACTTGTATTGCCTACAGTCGTATGGCATGTTGATTACGCATTCAAAGTAAAATGATTTGTTTGCATATTTCTTTCGCTGCAGCTTTACTCGGGTCAGTTTCCTTCAGAGCTGCAGACTCCTGTCAACATATCATTCAAAGTGGAGATTCCACTGGGAGTGGAGAGTACTGGGTCGACCCACAAGGCAATGGGAACTCCTTTAAGGCTTCTTGTGACATGACGACTGATGGAGGTTTGTTTTCAGCTATTTTTTTTTTTCTTAGCTGTTTATATAACCAGGGTTTTTTTTTTTTAATTTAAAGGAGGCTGGATGATGGTGTTGAACGTTATTTTGGCAAGCCCCCAATCTTCCTGGTGGAATGGCACAGCTGAACAAACGTTTCAAGGTATACGTAACTATGGAAACGGCAAAATGGCTATAACCAAAAGCGCTATGAGCCAACTAAGAGCGTACATAAACTTCACCCAAATAAGATTTCACTGTAGCAAAAGAAAAGGAACAACATTCCACGTCAGAACGACTCTGAACAACAAAGGTGCAGAAGTGGTGCGATATTTCAGCGGCGAAAGAGATGAGATGCCAGACTCGTGTGACTCCTTCGTCCGTATGGATGGCGATAACTCAAGACTGGCTCAGAATTGTGCGGCATGGGCATATCATGGTAAGTGGGGACATGTCAGCCATAGTGTTGGAGAGAATCGTCTGTACAACTACGCAGCATTTGTGGCCAACAGTTATCACTGGATAATTGGTGGCGACTGGAAGTGTGATGATGATACTAACAATAACCTGTCAACTGGAGACTCTTGGAAAATATATGTCCGTTGAAATACACCTTCATGCAATAACTTTGTAATGTAGGACAAAGGATAAACGAAAAATAGAAAAGTCAAATGGAAGCATTTGGAAGGCTATACACCTGACACTCTAACGACTTTAAATTTTTTAGTTTTTAATATCTAGGTCAGCTAAATGCAATCTTATTATTATTGGATATAGCTTAAATTTCCGTTGAAACTTGGTCAACGATAACCGTCCCTAAAATGAACTTGACGCAATTGCATTGCAGTTGCGGGAATTCAACGCACAATCAGAAGCTGAATTCATTGACGGTTCCTATAAAAAGAACTAAGGGTAAGGCCAATTTCCTTGTAAATAGCCAAGGCAATAATTTTTCATGTTACTCATATCGTGTACTTGTTGTAGTCTTGTTCACGTTATAGCAATAACCTCAACAGCAAAGTTACTGAGTCTGCTCATCCGATTCATTTGTATTTATAATTATTTGAAAGCGTGTAAATTAAATCACAGCAAACGATTAACTAGAAGAAAAAGTAGGGAAATTTCTCGTGCAACTCAAAATCTTTTTGCAATTTCTTTTTCAGTTATTCAAAGATAAGATTCTATGCTACTGTTCCTGGGTTACACACATACAAAATATACTATATTAATATACTATAACGGTCGTCAAACCCCGTCTTCATTTTAAATCAGTGTCGTGAAACATCCGGCTAAAACCAAGGAAATCGAAACAGACAACCAGAAGAAAGAAAATATTAATTTGGCATGGATTTGTTTGATCAATGAAGTAATGATTTGTGTCTCTTGTAACAGTTTTTAAAAATGATCATGTTACTTCAAGAAGCTGGAGAACTATTAATTCTGTCAAAGCTTATCTTCATAATACCACACAGATACACCGCGTATGACATGAAACATCAAACATTTACACTTACTGGACTTACTGCAAGTCTTCAGTGCGGGAAAAAAAAAAAACATTTTTCATTTCTGATGCATGTACAGATGATTGATCTAAATCAATATGAAAATAATAGTGAATCACTTTTGTGTTACGAGTCGAATTTAGCAACAGACCCTTGAATTCATCATCCTAATGAAGGTACATCAAACACCTGGCAGAATTACCAGGAAATCGCCCGTGATAAAGTCACTATTTTTAACATCTCTGCTGGTACACAAGCAAAGGATGTGATCGAGAGAAGCGCATGTTTGCTAATACTCTGTCTCTATTTGAATGATCCAAGAGATTTCTCACGAAAAAAAACGAATAAGACCCTAAGAACCCATATTTGGACAAAAGCCAAACGTCGATAATCCAAAATTAGAATTGCTATTGCAATTTCTACTGGAAGAGATAAGCGCGCGCGACAAGTCAATGTAAGCTTTTGTGACGTCAGCTATATGTGACAGCACTCTACATGAGTCGCACGTCTGTTAAATTCAAAAGAGAAAAGGTTTCACAAAAGTTGCGCAATGGCGATGGCATCTCAAAATGCAGGTAAGTTAAAAGCTTCTCCTCTGGATGTTCCCGATGAATAACTCTAGTTGTATATATCGAGATCTTAAATTGCAATCGAGAAAGGTTTTAAAAGCCGAGTCAGTAGGCTGCGGAATGTAAGTATCTTCCAAACAATGCTAAGTTCGTAAGTTTGGGTGGAATCCCGAAAGGCTATTCACAGGGTTTAGGTCAATATTCGAAAAATAACTGTATTAATACTGATTGCTATATGAAATTGGAAATGGTTTAAAACAAAAGTGAGGCGCAACAACAATTCAACTTTTACAGAGAAACATGAGGGAAAACAGGGATATCCTCTAGTAGAATTGCTTGCAAAGGTAAACCAATTGAATAGACTTAAACTAAGTATGTAGCTTGTGAAGGTTTTGTTTTTTTTTCCGTCGCTGCTGAGGGTATAGTGATTTTCCGGGTTCAATTTGTTTAAAAATTATTCCTGCTATTTTTGTTGTATCTGTGGCTGTTTACAAAACAAACGGTTCACGCGCGTGCGCCTGTTTGCGCGCGCGTGATATTCCTACGCTAACTTACGTATCGTGCACCAGTTTCTCTCGGTCTCTTGCAACTTGCGAGTTTTTTCTGTTCCTTACATGGTCGAATCGCGAAGTTTAGGCTCGAGCTTTTCGAAGGTTGGATAACGCTACCCAATCAATTGCGATCCAGTGGATAAGTGTGAACAAAACGTAATGCGCTGCTGTCGGATAGATATTTTTTTAGTGGATAGCGTTATCCACCCAGCTGGTGCTAACAGTTAGATTTGCCTCGTTTTTTTAATACTAATTTTTGAGTTTTTGTTGAAGTTACGCCGAAGGTTATGGAAGTCAAACGAAGGAAATAGTAATTTAGAAATGTGGTTCAATTAAAAAAATATGTCTGTCGGTATTATGAAACAACGGTCTTTACCGATAGCGACATAGATTCACCATGGACAGCAGATCACATAGCTTTTCGGCGGATGCGACAACAAACTTGAAATTGGATATCTACTATTGTTTCTGTGAGCCATAAACACTATCCTTTTACAGACTCTGAAATTTTAACTAAACTGAATCATAAGGATATAAAAAGTTCCCTTGAAGATGTAACATCAACGAATAGCGAGTTTTTATGTCAATAATATAGATCTATTAATAATATTTTCGTCGCTGCCTTTTTATATGTTAGATCCCCATCAGAGTAAAGAGGAACTTGAAAAACTTCTCTCCGTTTTGGAGGAAGAGAATAGGGTAAAAACATACCTTGTTATTTTCCATATAGTCTTAAGCGTATGAGACCCTGTGAACGATCGACTGTGAGGATTTATTCAAGGTTCTTGTGTACAAAATTTCGAATTCCATTTTTCTCCTTCCTCGTTATGTTTTGTTTTCATTCATGATGCACGTGAACTAACCAATTAGCCAATCATTTCCAGATACACTAACCTTGAATCAGAAACTGGCACGCTTCATCTTTTTATTTGGTCGACAAAGTTTTAAGTCGCTTGTTATTTCAAACTTTTCTCTCGTTTTGTGTTTCTAGTTTGAGACTTCCCAATGGCTTTATTAACAGCGAAATGATGAATTTTTACATTTGTTATACATTAACCGACGAAGATTGGACCCAAGCCTTTATCAACACAATTAATGTTATTTTTTCGTTTGCCTGTTTTTGTTGTTACTAATCTTCCAAAAACTTTCTATAGGAACGCGCACAGTGTCTAAACTTAACACATCTGAAAGTGCCTCATATGAACAGTTTTTGATTTTGGATGCAACAGTATTTCTGGATCAAGATTGAAACTATTTGAATTACTAATACTTTTTTTAAAACTTTTGCTCTTTAATTCAGAAATTAGAGATAGATCTGGGTGCTCAAAATAAGAAAATCGCCAACATATCGGCATTCCGTGCGTAAGTAATAAATGAATAATACAAATGAGTAATTACTTAAAGAAATTGATGGTTAGTTTGCACACAGTCACAGACAATAATAACAACTCGTTTGCAGAGTTTTTTTCGTTAAATGATCCACGATATGATTGTGAGCACAAATTTCAATGGAGTGATATTTCTAGTTTTGGCCTTATTTTAAAAGTTATTCGGCAATTTCAACTGAATTGTATTCTTTAAACTTTTTTCTTCTCTTGAAGTCTTCTCGCTATATTCAAGGAAATTGGTATTCTCGAAACCGAACACGTCTCTGTTTTTTTGTTTTTTTTTCCAATTTCAGGGATACTAGACGAGCTATGGCCGAAGAGTTATACAAACTTGAGAAGGAAAGAGAAAACGTGATGGTAAAAATAATCGTTATTGATGCTGTCAACGTATGATTGTCAGTAGACCGTCTTGTTGGTGAAACGATTTCACTGGCTTTCCTTATACTGGGGAGATGCACACGTCTGTACTTCTCGCAAATATAGTCAGTGCTATTTCCTTCAGTGGTGCGAACTAGAGGGGGAGGGGTCGGGGGGTTGGGTTTTTTTACTAATTGTCCGATACCAATGTTCTTGCATCGACAAGATCGTATATTACCATTCAACTTTCTGATTTTGTTCCTGAGGGCGACCGAGGGGGAGGGGTGGGGGGAGCGCAGGTTGGTTTAGAAGTAATTTTAGACCTCCCTGCCAAAAACTCCTAGATCCCGTCCTGTTTCTTTTTGTTGCTATATAGAATATTATGATTGAGAAACTTCAACGAGATGACCTCGCAATGTTTTTACTCATGTCTTATTAAATCTTTTATCTGTCGACAGGATGAGCTGAAGAAGTTGCAGAACGAAAACGAACGCTACGAGAGGCAAGACTCTGAAATATGCTATTCTATCTTGCATTATTTAATTGAAGTTTCTAGCATTGATCAAATTCAGTATCTGAGTGATTTACCACCTACCCCTCCCCTAGTCCAACATTAACCCTAACTTGTTATCAGTTGAAAGTAGTTTTGGGGTCAGGGGAGGGCTTCGTGCGCATTTGTTCAGATACCGTCGTAAATCCAAGTTTTTAGTACTGTAGATTTCGGTTATGAAAGTGGAATCCACTTTCTTAAATCCGCTGCTTTTTATTCAATGATTAAGGGGTCCCTCACCGGTATCTGGATGTCCCCTAATGCGGTTATGCTGCAAAGAATAACTTCTCATTTACGAATCTCATTCCCGGTACCGATGATAGCTTATATTCCGCAAAGCTCTCTTTCCAATCAGACTCGTTTTCGAAACAAGAAGACATGTTCTGCTGTTGAACCACTGAAAAGTGTAAGAATCTATCAACGCTCTCGCGGTAAACTCCTCTAATAAACTTCCACTTTGCGACATATCTAAAAGATTGGAGGCTCTAGGCATTGCTAAAAAACCTTAGAGTGATTTATCGTTTTTAACATCGCTTTTAGTGAGCTGGACCAACTTGAAAGACGATCACGTGACCGACAGGAGCTGGTAAGCATAACATTTACGACAAAATTCTGGAGAATTGTCACTTATCAATATTCAGCTAAGAATCCTTTGAATTTTATGCAGGAAATTGTTAGCGACTCTGATGTAGAGGAAGCTGAGAGGTAAACAATATAATATAGCGCAATACTGAATACACCATTTGTAGGTATCCCTTCAAAAAGTTGTTCAACGATAAAAATTTGGGTCTGTTAAATTATATCTGAGCACACTTCATGTTCAGCAAATTATAACAGATCCATTACAGGTCAACTTTTCATCGATTGCTTTTTAAGCCTTACTAATTTATTTTATTTAATATACAACGAGATCTAATTGCATCTCAAAGTTTTTATGTAAATAAATAAATCTCCCTTTCCAGTTAGTTTAATTCCGTTCTCGTTCCCCTGATCCTTACCTTATGGAAACAACATAAGAATTTCTTTTCAGAAAAATTGACTATTTAACTTTATATTCAAATTCTTGTAGAAGAAATGCACAGCTCACTGAAGAAATAACAGATATTGAACACAGAGTAAGTATTTAGTTTGTATTTACGCGCAAGAAAGTTTCTTCTTCTCGTCCAGCTAAGAACTTGCAATCACTTTGAATTACTATTCTTAGTACATTTCTGCTATATAATTCATGGATTTTACAGATGACTAATTGTTTCTATTGTTATTTCATTTTCCAAATAGATTGAAATTTTGATATCCACCATAGCTGCATTAACCACATCAACGCAGGTTTGCAAATAGCACTTAACATTTCATCTCAAAAATTCTCATCTGTGTATCATGAACTATTTTCTTACATTTAAGAACAAAGAGCACTCTTATTTTTCGCGCGAGAAGCTCCATGAACAGTAGAAAAAAATTCTCATCCATTTTTATCATAAAACTATTGCCATTTTCGTTTAGATGACAGAGAAGATCACAGCAGATTATGAGAGGTGAATAACTTTTTCTCTAAATTTCGATTTTTTTCTTTTCATTTGATTATAACTATTGACAGCAGTTGATAATAAGTAAGCTTTTATTTCCTTATATCATCCACAGCGAACTGGAAGATCAAAGGAAACAATTAAATGCTGTCACAAACAAAGTAGGTTAAAAGTTTTTTTTTTCGTTGTCGATAAAAAACGTAGCTCTGATGACTTTGATGAAAATGTAAAGCGTCACTATTTTTCAGGTTCGGTAAAAAATAGTTTAGACCTATCAAATCTTGTATAATCTGGGAGAAAATCAGTATTTATTTCAGCATTGAGAAAAGCAGTGATGTCCATATTTCTCATTTCCTTAGATAGCATTCGAGGAATTCGAAATCGAAAAGTTTCTAAATGAAATAAAGGTTTGTTTGAAATCATCATCATTTTAATATCTGATATCGAGTGCCCATTCAAATAGGGGGAAGGAGGGAGGGGGGGGGGGGGCGGTGAGGCCCGTGTTCTCCTCCACCACACACGGTGTGGGTTTTTAAGGATTTTAAAAGTAGCTTAAACAATTTTTAAAAACTTTAAAGAGGCTTAAGCGTTTCTTGAAAGTGACAAAAAAACCGCGAAAATTGTTTCAAATGCGCCAAATGGCACCGCGACGTGTTTGAACTTGATACATCCCTCCGAATCCCTCTCCATCCGACCCCCCTACGGTATATTATGATACATCACCGGCTGTTTCTATCTCACGTCACTTCAAAATCGTTCGTGCTAAATTATAGTTTGTTATCTTCAATTATTTCCAATTGTATCTCTTAAAAAAATATAAGAGGATCGTAATTCACGGTCAAATGTACAAATCATTACCTTGCTTCTTAGAATCGAATGTGATGGAATAGTCTTTTGAAAGCTCCAAAACAGAGCATCAGGGACTAAGACCAAGAGACGAGAGGAGGAGGTTGAACACGAGATTTCTTAAAGCTCACACCGATCCTAGACCCTAAATATTCTCCCTTGCTCCGAAAATCTTTATTTCTCAGGAAGCAAATTTTGTTGTTTTGCAGATCATGGATGCTGATGTCGAAAGGTTACTTCCGTGTGAAACTTTCTTTTTTTCAAAATTTCAAAATTAAAAAGGTTCGTAAAGGTTCGTAATAGGCATTTCTTTTCTTTTTTTCCAGGAAAGCTGCCGCTTTGACAAAAGCAGAACAAGAGGTAGATGGAGCTTCTCTTTTGAGAATCTTAACTTTACTCTCGTTTTTCTTAGAATCATCATGTTTTTTTTTAGTTATCAAATTACATGTAGTGAATAATTATTAAGGCATTTCATCCTCAGAATTCAAGTTTGGAGGAGTCTATCAAAAAGGACAAACTTGAAGTGAAGGTAAGAAATGCGAAGAGCTTCGTTAAATAACAGAACTGATAAAGGACGTGAGGCGATTTTCAACTGAGTAACCAAATTTATCCTTAATTTGATTGCATGTGCTTTACTACGCCCTGTGATTGGTGTAAAAATTCCCCCCACGCTCTCAACCAATGCAAACTGCCACCCATTATTACTAATCCACGCGAGCTTTTAGTCAGTTTTAAGAAAGTTAATGAAAGTATCGTCCATTTATGGTTTATTTATGTCTTTCAGGCTTTTAGAGAATCGATAAAGGAACATGAAAGGTAAGGAAAGTCTATCTCTTCGTAATATGTACATATTTAAGAAGAAAAGATCAGGTGATAATTAAATGCACACAGACTATCACAGACTTATTCAAATAACAGTTTTAAAGCAGTGACGATTTGATGCTTTCTCTATATGAATTCATTTCAGAACGGAGCAACAGATTGAAAAGGATTTCGAAAACGCTCGTCTAGAGGTAATCTGCTGGTTTTCATACTAACTAGAATTTATTATTTCTCATCCCCGTGTTGATTTATCCCTTCGGCGTCACTATAATTTATATTTGTTTACATGAACAACCTGAGATACCAGGTGACCCAGTTTTTTCGAACTAACTTGAATTCGACACTATCAGATATCGAAATTAGAATTTTTCTGTTTTGTAAGGAAAGCTTCTCAATATTGTGGCAAGGACATCAATAATAAACTTGTATGAGATACGAACGGCTTTGACCGTCGTTATCTTCTAAGGGACCGATTATCCCCGGGGAGGGGGGGTGTGGAAGATTTTGACTGTGTCACCCCAAAAAGCTCTGTAATATTGTTATGACCACCTCTCACCCTCCTTGGCAGTTAATAGGCGGACAATTTTCTTTCGTCCCCACGTTATACTCTGTTAGCGATAACTGATCTCCCATTCGATCCCCCTGAAGCCCATGTGATTCTCCCAAAAATCCTCAACATTTTATTCATCAAATTCTACTTCTTCTTTCAGTTTGCGTCGGTAATGAACGAGAGACAAACGTAAGTATTTCTCAAAAAATGGATAAATTTGTGAGACTTGCTTAACATCAATGATTTAATGACCATGATGGCTCCTCTCTGAATCTCTGAAGATTCACTGCTTCTAATAATTTTTTTCTTACTTTGAAGCGTAGTGTTGTCGTCGGTCAATTATCTTAAAGTCTTGTTTCAGGTTTAACCAGTAATAGGACAAAATATTAACACTTGTTTTATTTCTATAGAGAGATTGATTACATCAAGATACAAATCGCAGATTTGCAAACCAAGTTACTGAATCATGGCAAACAAAATGAAGAAAAAAACGAAAAGGTTAGAGGATAATTGTAATATAACCTCATTTCCAAGAAAAGCAACTGTTTCTTTTTTTAATTTTTTGCTCTATCATTTACGTGTTTTCTTCCTCTTTTTTTATATTTTCTTTTTTTCTTTCCTCTTCTTAGGGTTTTGCAAAGAAGCCAAATTCACTTAAAAGAAGAGTCACTCGTTTTTTCAGAAGTACCACGGATTGATGGATTATTGAAAGATTTTATAAGATAACTTAACCTCCTGTCGTTACTGAAACTAATAAAATATCTTGTTGCTCTTCTGTGCAATGATATTATCTCGTTACTGCGTTACAGAAGGTTACTTATAATTTGTATAAGCTACAAGAATTGTTCGTCAACTATTTTGAAAAGAAATCCTTCTATTCGCTATAAAAATTGATCGGATGAAATAACGGCACCTGATTGTCAAAATGTGGAAATACGGTGGCCAATATTTTTTTAACTCTCAATATGCAGTAAGATCCATTCTAATATTTAGTAATCACTCCTTTTAGTTTTGTTTCCGATTTGCTGTGACTAGAAAATAGGGTAATTGACCGCAGTTAAGGACCCTTAACAAGCCATTTTTTTCTCTTGAAATTACCTTGGTAGCTTATAACCTCTTGCCGAGTTTTTTCTGTTGCTAACCATCATAGAGAAACCACACTCATCATGCATCATCGATCATGACAGAAGCCCTAGTCAAATACTATTTCTTTGGGAATGAGTGAGACATCCTGAACATTGCCTAATCAACGGGAAATCGAACTATTTGTATCCTACTGAAAATGGCACAGCCAAACCAAGCTCTCAGCGAAACATGATCAAAGGAAGGGTAAGCAAGTTTTAAACTGTTTCTTTATGACTTCAAACTGTTTCAATCAATTGATATTACTCTACAGTTTCTCACGCGTTTCTAGCTGTCATAATCAACTAAACCCGTCCTGACTTCAAGTCAATTTTCTTTGAATCTGTCACATGCTTGGGGTCTTCGAAAAACTGTTAATCAGAAAATTCGACTAAAAAGATGGCTTGTTTTTTTGCGAATAACATGGGGCACACGAAACCTTTGATGGTATTCCGTAGTTCTCGTGACTGAAGTAATTTGCGTAATCATTTCATTTTCTCCTGACCAGCTCAACAGATATGCATGAAGTTTAGTATCTACTCCAAGTGGGCTACATCAGGTGCAACAACGATTTCGTTAAAGCTAGACTTCCTCATTGTAAAAGCCTCAATGAAAGGATTCTACCGCGAGAGTACAAATTTCTTGTTAAACTAAAGCGTCATAATTTGCAAGTCTTTTCATTTGCATTTTCTTAATTTTTCTGGTCTGTCTGCAAATCAGAATATTCAAAGATTTCTCTTTTAGAAAAATTTAGGGTCATTTGAACTTCAGCTTTAGTTCGTTTCTGTTGTAATGCGAGGGGCTTAAGATATGAGCAAATCATTAAAATGACATCTATGGTACATCGCCCAAAAAGAGCAGAAGGGGAAGGAAACTTTGGTCATTGTTTAAATAACGAAATTAAAATGACATCTTGAGGCTAATGAAACAAGATAATCGTTTCAGATGATATGACGCACATTGTGAACTAGACCAAGGATTGTCGTCATCGTAAACTCGTTAAAAAGAGGCGAGCTCGTAAACAACAATTTAAGTCTGAGAAAACACTAAATTTCTTTTATATTAATACCAAGGTATCGACATTGGAAATTTTAAAACTGTTTTCAATATATTTTGTCCGACTTCAGTTCTAGACACAACCTTATCTTTGAAGAATGAGCGAGGGCAATGTTATGATATCTTTGTTGTTAACGTGACTCAGTGACTTAAACATAATAGACTCTTGTTCCGTTCGAGTGATTATTTGGTAAACAACTTGATATTCGTTGTACTCATTAGATATGCCATCTGGTTTAATTAGCGGCGCTTCTGTTTGGAAAAATTTAGACGCGATCCAAAGCAAATATTAATCCCTTTTTTCTTGCAACCACGCCTTGACAAAAAAAGAGATTTGTTGCAAATGAAAGCATTCACGTTGAGAACTGAGTCCTACTTTGTTAACGTAATGATCCATCATTTGGAGGGAAGAAGGATTACTTGAGTCATCGATGTAGATGGAATACGATTTGAGCTCTACGGTAAGGCATTCCAACCTATTTGAACCTGGGATCTTTACGGCAGGATTTACGGTACAACATTGTCAATTCGCAATATTGTGTAGATTTGCATAGTTTACAGATGAGTCTAAAAGTGAGGTTTATGTCAAAAGGTAACATGCTATCCTCAATACCGGATTTGTCATGGATAACACATTCGCTAAAAGTTCGCAATAACATTGAAGTCGTTTTGTCTGAGGCTCTTTCCCGAATCAAGCCACACAACTTGAGACAAATTTATACAAACAGGTAAATGATTGAAGTACTGAGCTTGCAAACAAAGGTTACTGTTTACAAATTCGATGTTGTTGACAAGATGCAAAAGCGATCTTTGTTCGAAGGCAGAAAATTCAGCTAATCTGGTCAGTTCGTTTCGTTTTCTGGCACATCTTTCATTTTAAAAACGGAGTCAATCTGCAGTCTGTAACCGGGGTTGCTCAGATTACAAAAAGCAACGCTGGAAGCGTTACGAATGTTCTAGAAATGAGACATAAAAAAAATAAAGGGAACAATCGATCGCTCCGCAAAGAGGCCATTGTGAAGTGAGCTGTAGCACGCATGGGTTAAGTAAACAAAACAGCTCTATCTATTCATTTGTTTCTGCGGAAATAATAGCGATGCCTGTTCACTGCAATAGAGATCTCTTCAATAAATGCATCTACGCTGGTGCAAGTGAAATGGTGCCGGGGACCAAATGAAGCAAGACATTTGCTACAAAACATGGAGAAAAATGCAAGTAATTATCAACATTCGAGCGATACTTCATTTTCTCAAACTATTGACCCCCCGGGACCTGCTGGTAAATCACTCAAGACAAGTAAAGCTGAATTTCTGACTCCTAATAGCCAAAGGCAATATTTCATTTTCCAGAACTCTCTAAACTTGGGATTCTGCTTGACGGCTATTGTAAGTGCATCGGTCAAACCTAATTATTCATAATCTTAACCTAAGAATTTTTGGCTTTTAGGCGATGGAAAACTTTGCGAGTCACCAGGATATTCGAGGGAGACCAACGAGTCTCAGCTCAGTGATGGGACTAAGTACGCCTGAGAGCGACCTGTCTCTGCCATTCGAAGAAAACCTCACTGACCTAGTCCATGACTATCGCACTAATGAAGAAAGCTTGTTCGTCGAAAATGCAAAAAGAAGAACAAGAAGTATAGACTCTATAGGAGAACTCATACGGGAACTAAAGGAGATAAAAATAAATCAACTCCAACAATGCGAAAAAGTGGAAAAGGATCTGGTGAAGTCATTGACCCCTTTGCACATCGCAGCAGTGATGGGGGATGCATCGGCTGTCGAAAGGCTTGTCAGGGAAGGTGGCCATGATGTAGATCCACTATCTGAAGATCAGCGGACCCCACTTATCATGGCATGCTCATCAGGTAAAACTGACACCATTCGCACTTTGGTACACCTCGGAGCCAATGTCAATGCTTGTAGTGAAAGTGGTATGACACCCTTAATATTGGCTTCTTTAAACGACGATAAGACCACGATTCGCCTTCTATATAAACGTGGGGCGAAGGTGAAATGGAAAAACTCAATGGGCCTAGCAGCCCTACACTTTGCGGCATCTAATGGAAATGTAAACGCTGTTAGGGAACTTTTAAAGAGGGGAAGCGACCTCGATTCAAAAACAAATGAAGGATGTACCCCGCTGCACTTAGCTCTCCTAAATGTGCAACAGAATGCTATCGAGGAACTGATCAGCAGTGGGAGTGATCTTCACGCAAAGGATCAACATGGATACTCTCCAATGCATTATGCAGTCTTCTCGGGAAAAGCTCACATAACAAAAATTCTTCTCAATTACAAAGCTGATGTCAATGCAAAAGACAACTGCGAATTCACCCCGCTGCATTTTACAGCACAAACAAATTGTGTTGAGGTTGCTAAGGAACTTATACAACATGGAGAAAAATTTAATGCACAAGCAAAGGACGGCATAACTCCGCTGATGATTGCTGCATTTCATAATAGCACACACGTTGGGAATTTACTGATAAGCAGCGGAGCAAAACGGAATGCGAATAACAAAGCTGGAAAAACAGCTCTTCACTTCGCTGCTCTCAAAGGAAATGTTCAGTTTACCCAGTTTCTGATCGATGTTGGCGTCCATGTTGATGCAGTCGACAACAATGGAAATACAGCATTACACCGCGCCTCGCAAAATGGACAACACAGAACCCTAGAAACACTTTTGCAAGCAGGAAGCATGGTAAATTCCAAGAACGATAAAGGCCTGACGCCACTCATGATAGCATCAAACAATGGCCATGTAAAGTGTTGTAAACATCTCATTAACTTCAAGGCTAACTTGGATGCACCCCATCACACAACTGGAACCACCTGTCTTCATTTTGCATCAGAGAGAGGTCATTCAGATGTTATCCAGTTGCTGATCGAAAATGGTGCAGACGTTTCTGCAAAAGACAAACGGGCTCTTACGGCTCTGCATAGAGCGTCAAAGAATGGACATCTTAAAACAGTCAAAGTCCTCTTGCTGCGTGGAAGCGATCCAAACAGCAGGGACAGCTGGAGCTACACTCCCTTGCATCGGGCAGCGGAGTGTGGTCGCACTGAAACAGCTACTTTACTTATTAAACATGGGTCTCATATCTCCGCCACTGACAAATGGAAGTTTACGCCACTGCATAGAAGTGCCAGCGAAGGCCATGTCAACACTGTACGAACCTTACTGCTACATGATAGCGAAATACATGCAATTGATTGTCTGGGATACACACCCCTCCACAGAGCTGCAGAACGTGGCCACACGGACGCCTGTCGATTGCTAATCAGAAGTGGGAGTAGCGTGCGAGCAACTGACTTTCAAGGGTTCATTCCACTTCATAGAGCTTCACAGAACGGACACAAAGAGACTGCAAAGCTTTTACTAAGGGAGAAAAGTGAAATTAAGGCGAGAACATACACTATAAATTTGTCATCATCGAGCCTGAATTTACGAACAAATTCCTTAACGGGTCAGAATGGCGTCGCAGAGGAAAGCCGCCGTCAAGATGGCCATACGTCACTTCATTTAGCTTCAGAGAATGGTCATAAGGAAACAGTCGAGTTATTACTGAGAGAAGGCGCTGATGTCAATGCTCTTGATCACTGCGATTGTTCAGCATTGCACAAGGCATCAGAAAATGGTCACACCTCCGTTGTGGAATATTTGCTTCTCAAAGGGAGCAACATCAACGGTACGGACAAATGGAGAAACACTGCTGCACATCGCGCAGCACAAAACGGACACACAGATACTGTTGAAAGTTTGCTGGCTAATCGTGCCAGTGCACATGCAGTAAATCAATCCGAGTCCACGCCCCTGCACTGTGCTGCGACATCCGGACATCTGGAAACAGTCCAAGCTCTAATAGTCGTGGGAGGAAGCAACATTCATGCTAAAGATTCACGTGGACACACGCCTCTGCACCGTGCTGCTCAAAATGGTCATACTCAAGCCGTGGATTGCCTTCTTAGACAAGGTAGTGACGTGAATTCGTTGAGTAAAGAGAAGTCGACGCCACTGGTTCTTAGCGCGTATGGTGGCTTCACAGACACTTGTTGCGTGCTTATTAAATATGGTTGCTCAATAAATAACTCAATGAGTAGTGGACTCACGGCCCTTCACCTTGCTGCTCAGAACGGACACACGAAAACTTGCGAACTGCTAGCGACACGTGGGGGAAACGTACACGCTAAAGACAACTGGGGTTATACGCCATTACATCGGGCGGCGCACAACAACCACAAAGAAACTATCCAAGCTTTGTTGACGCATGGCAGTGATGTAACATCCGCTGACAAATTCGAATTTACTGCATTACAGCGCGCAGCGCAAAGAGGACACAGGGAATCTTTGGAACTTCTCACATCACATGCGATTCAGAGAATGAGGAGGCACAGTACTTTGGATCCTCCCAGGGGGAGACATGTTCACTTTGAGAAAGCAGACTCTGACTGCAATACCTGCCGAATGATGGGCCTCTACATCATCCCAGAAGTTAGCAACGACGAAAACATCGGAGAGACTCGGAAAAGACGGCAAAGATTTCAGACAATGTGATACATTTCTAGAATCACTTAGCATAATGTTTTCTTTTTTAAAACTTGATTCCAGTGCAAACTCTTCAATTAACGATTGATAAAAATATAGGCGAAAGTAATCAAGATTTAGTCGATTTATTCATTTCAATGATGGACATATAATTTATTTTAAAATTTTATACGATTGTTGAATGCTGCGATTTACTATAATGACACTTTCAGAATTGCGTTGACGCCATTCGTGTATTCAATGTCACTACTTTTTAACAAACGGGTCGTTGTGTGTTTAAATAACTGAGATACAAAACGTGAAACGAGATCGACAATGATGGAAAAGGACGGGGGCTGGGCATACCAACTTGGGAGAGCGAAACAATTCAATAAGTATTCAAACAAACATTTACTCACTTGCTCGTTAAAAAATATTTTGAACAGTTCGCTTGTATAACATAACTTTAAGTGGGGCTGGAAACATAATACAACAAATTTAACGTCTTTTTTTGTGATCAAGTCACTGATTCTGAGGAAACCCGTCAACGAGCGCGAGAAATCAATCGAAGTGCTCAAGAAGACATGAACCGGCGCAAACAAAAACGACAGGATTTAGGAATCGAATGTTGCCGAATATCCAAGAAGAAGTTAGCGAAAACGGAATAGAAGTAGTGGTTTGTAAAACAAAGGCAAAAAAAAAAAACCTTTTTGAAAACGCTTTATGAATTAGGTATTTTAAAAAGGCGGAGTTGAATGAACACGATTTGACAATTACAGAATTCGATCTTTTAAAATATTCTGAACTTTGATAAACGGAGGGCGAAGCAAAATAAATTGCGCTAGTACAACGAAATTACCAACAATGAGCGATCTCAGGTCCTGTCTACAATATACTGAGAAGACTTATAGGCCAAAAGCATCGTTTTCGAACTGATCCCGCCTTGTGTACTCGAGGGAAGTTTGCGGGCAGACGCACGAAAGAAAAAATCTTTTGTCAGCCAAAGTTTTGAAAAGAAACTGAGAAAACGAAAGCCTTTCGGAAATGCTGCCAGAGCCGCAAAGAAAATATTGTGAAAATTATATTGCGGCAACTAATGTAGTCCCCTTAAAAATTATTGCGTATCTGTTACGTTATTCACATGACCCGGCTAAGTTGAGGTATTAAACATTCGTGATTGTCATCGCGTCTGTGACACGGAGAATGGGATGACTTAATGATCAGACATGCAGCCGATGAAATGTTTAATCCGGATTATTCAAAGTTTCCATTTAAATACAACGTACAGAAAGGCCATTATACAGTCAAACATGCTCCTCCAACAGGATGTTGGATAAAAATGTTTGATTGCTCTGCCGGGACGATAGTGTCGGCAGTATCAGGTAAACAACGGCTTTAATGAATATAGCAACCGCTGTGCACGTACGTATAATTTTGAAGGGTTTCCTGAACCAACCCATGCAAAACAACAACATTACCTACCAAATAAAATGGCTTTCTGCAACAAGTGAAAACCAATGTCCAAATTTTCACTCGTGTATTTAGATAAACCTCCTCCTTTTTGCAATGATTTGAAAAAATTTTATATCAATGCAAAAACTGGAGCAATCCAGTTAATTCCGAGATTCTTTTTCAATTCGCGTCGTCTCGATTGTGTCAGTCGCTTTTGCGAAAACTCCCCACATTAAAACTTAACATTCTACAATTCAAAAAATACAAAAAAGCTCTCACCAGTTTTTAGCGGTTGATTCCTACTTGAGTCAAATTCTTCCCACAACTACTTGAGCGGCTGCAATAAAACTCTTACGACTTGCAACACATTCAAATTTAAGATCTAAGCTTTGCTAACAAATTTCTTGTGCGGTGTGCCTCATGGGAATTAACCTCCACTGTCTCACAAAAAGCGTGCGCGGATCAAAATTAGCAAATTATCAGGAACGCAGTCAAACAAAGCAACCATCTTTGATTTTTTGTGCGTCTTCGTTCACGGCCAACAACATGAGACAAACAAAATAAGCTATTTTCTGTAATTTTTTCTCAAAATTGATTTTTTTTAATTTTCACAACACAGAATGCAATGCTAACATTCAGTTTATACCACTGACACTAATTAGATTATTTAAACAACGGCACATTCGCTACTATAGACATAACTGTTCTAACATTGATTAAAATTCTTGCAGAGTTTCTTAAATTAGTCAGGAGACCTCACAATATGTAAAGGAGAAGTTTCTACGGGGAGGTGGGGGGGGGGGGGGAATTAATTACAAGATCACTGGTTTTACTATCAACTAGGTTGATAAAGTAATTTACCCATTGTAAAAACCGGCTTGCGGCAGACACTACAGTATTTAAAAATCTTAAAATCCTGACTTTCATTAAATTACGTTATCTCACAATACGCACATTATTTTTTTATAAACATGACAGTCTAGAAATTCCACCAACAGCGGTTACTACATAAAAAGGAACTTTTTACAAAGAAAATCTATTCGGCTTGATTTTCTAGATGAAACATGCTGTGGAACGTATGCACAATGTAAATAACTATCAGTGGGCTGAAACAGGAAGCGGGGAGGGGGGGGGGCATGCTTCCTCGAAAAATCGTGAGTATGGAGAGTTTTCAATTCGATCGCAAAATTCCGTCAGCCTTTGCGATTCGTCTCAGTATTTTACTAGTTCAGGTGACAAAGTTTGGTTTGTCTTTTGTTTGTCTACGGTTTCTGACATTACGTAGTTAAAGTTGCCTGGAGTCATGCGCGGTTGGCTTGGAAGTTTTCCGTACACAGTTCCTTTGCGAATAAGTCACAAGTTGTAATCTGTGTAGTACTATGGAATTATTAATGAGTTTTACAGCGACCATTGTTTACTGTTTTATATTTCACATCGGAGTCTCAACCTCTATACGAGGCGTGTCTCGTTGCCAACTGCTTAGTTTCTGATCTCTTTTTCAAATAGTTAACGAACAAAGACCTGCCATGTATCTCCTACGGACAGAGGGGCTGAGGAACTGTATAAATCGTCACAGGCCAAGACAGAAGGTTTTATGTTCACATAATATTTGCCTTCCCAGAATATCGGATCGTTATAGATACGAAAACTGCCCTTATTTTTGAAACTTCCCCACTTCTCACATTCACCACGTATCCCATCATTCCCCCATTTTGAACAGTTAACCGAAAGATAAGCATTATCCCCAGGTAACCTTTCAAACGAGGCACAAGCTCTTGGCTGAATGTTAGGATCTTCAATGAAATATTTCACCACGCTGTGTCCATTGATGTCGTTTTTGGTCATAATATGAAGAGTCCTGCCTGTGGTTTTTTTATGGCAGTAGAACCGTATCTGCGTGAAACCCGTGAGTTGTTTTAACTTAAATATTGCAGACACATCAATACGTATGATTCCTTTGCTGTAATTACTTATCATTCTGTAGTTTTTCTCTCTGGCCATTGGCGTTAATGACGTGGTGTTTTTGACTACAGTTTGTGCGATCAGAGTCCAGCCACCTGAAAAAAATTTGTGACACTGAAACTCAGAATAAAACTAGCCAGATATCAGCCGGCTCAGAGTGAAATACACCTCAGGCAGGAATTACGTACATATACGAAAGATAAGCGAGTTCTGATTGGCTACCCGAACGGGCAAGATGGACTCATCTTACCCGCTCACGAATGCCCGTTTTGTTCCCGTGCAGGAAAAAAAAAATTGCACTTAGCAGACGACTTACGAACTTGAGCGGAAGTCATCATCAGAGTCAAGTTATTTTGATTGTAATTTCCGTTTTGGTTGTCGAAACGTCAGTCACTATTACAGTCAGCATTCCTTCTTAAGATTACTCAATCACACAACACAATCAATTGTTGCTCTTGCGTTCAAACCATTTCCTGTATTTCATTTATCGTACCTCCGTTTGTTTGCATATCACAGAAAACTGTAAAAGGGGCATCAGAGTAGGATGGAGCGATCCAATATTCTCCATTGGGAGAGTTCTCCTGCGAATCTTTTATATCCTTACAAGACAAACCAGGAAAGTCTTCTTCTTCGCCTATACGGCCTAATACAAAAATAGATTGGAGGAATGAAGCAATAAAATCCAATAAAAATAGCCCAATTATTTTATCCATCCTCATAGCTTTTCCGTTCAATTATCTTTAAAGGTGTAAACGTGGAAAAAAATCCGTGGAAAGGTTGTAAAAATACTGAATCAATAGGAGCGAAATATTTGTTCATGAAAAGAAACATTTCGTATACGATGCAAAATGCCCACCTCTGATTAGCTCTTTTTCAAAAAAAAACCCCGTTTGTCAAAATTGAAACGACAGGTTTTAATCTGGAAGGATTTTTTGACAGTCCTTTACCAAATTGCCATGACCACTAATTTAAAATGGCGCAATATTTGTTTAGTGTCTGAGTTACTTTGACATCTAATTTTGTGGGAGACTTAAATTTCTGCAGCTAACTAGCTAGATAAATTATGGCCTTTTGATTTAAAACTTAACGACTTGGTGAAAACATAATATTAAGATATGATATTTTTCGACTTACTTCTGAAGGGATTGTCCACATACACGTTTCCGTCTGATGGAACAAACCGGACTTCATTCCCCTTTTTAGTTCTGTTATTCAACTCGCAAATGGATTTTTCTGCGTTGTAGTTAATACTTTGACACTTGACGTTACTTTTACACAATTGGAAACAACTCCAAATGTCTTTTTCGACCTGGCTTGTGATTGTGTGTCCCAGTAGTTTGTAATTCTCAATCGAGTTGGTTCTCGTGCATCCTTGAGCTAAAACGCTGGCAAAAGATGCGAAAATCCATATGCTATGGAAATGGCAAAGTTTCAGTCGTCGAAGACAAATTTTTAGAGGCATCTCAACTAAAACGAACAAAGAAAAATATATTATTAAGAATCACGTTCTGTAATATTCAGTTTTGATATCAAAACAATGATGTGATTGGTTGTCCCTGTGATTGCCGGTCGTCAGTAGGACAGCTCTAATAAATCTTAAGAGAATCTGCCAATTGATTAAATGCGGCAAGGGCCGGATCTTAGTTCAGTTTAGAAAGCAAGCTACTTTGTAAAGGATTTCATGGTCAGAATTGTGGTGGGATCAGCGACATGATTCCGACGAAATTCTCGAAAGTCTAGCTAACTTAATGGGCCCAAAGCTATATTTTAAAGTCTCAATCTTAGGAATAATAATGCAGGTCTTACCTCAAAAACAAATACGCTTTTTTTTTTTTTAATTTCCTGATTGCTCCATTTGTTTTACTTTCAAAGCATTCAATAAATCGATCATGAATTCTAACAGGAGCGACAAAAATCAACTTTTCGGAGCCAATAAATAATTCCCGACCCTTTCATATGGAAAAATTACCCCTGGGATTCAAGTCCGGACCCACGAAGATTCTCGTGATCAAGGGATTCCCTGTGAGCGGTAACTCAGTAATAAATCTTCCGCCTTTTTATATACTAATGATCGACTTAGTAATGTGGTTTAGTGAATAGCTTTACGCAATTCATCTTAAACCAAGTTTTTTTAGTGGCAACCAAGCTTCGAAACAGGATCTTCTGATAGTTTTAATTTCCTTAACTAGTGATCAATAGATTTGGAGCCTTTTTCCTTGCACATTATCTGGCATAAACCGATTCGTTTCAATCAAAATTAAAACGGCACTAAACTTACCTCGTTGAAATATTCCACATCCTTCAGCACAACTATACCTCAAACAATTATGTCTTCCATGATTTTAAATCTTCCATTATGCAAATTTTTCATCAGATAATGTAATTCGTAATTTTTGTGTTGTCTTTTCTTATTTGCGAATTGTCAAAGCTCGGTGAAATAAATTTCAAATAAGATAACAGATTATTTTACAAAGCGCACCGATCTAAATAGAACTAATATGTTTGCCTTCTGGAATATATTACGTAACATGGCGATCGACATTGATCCTTTTTCATCATGAGTCAAATAATGGCTAGAGCTTCAATCAGTTTGTCAGTCGTTTGGCCCTCACTCGTTCATTCGTTAGTATAGCTCACCGTCTTGCGTTTGTTTTCGTCCCGTTTTTTTTTCGTTCGTTGAATTAGTTAGCTGGGAAGTTTTGGTTGTTAGGTTTGCTTGTTCCTCTTCTAGTGGGTTTCCCTCTCGCGTCTGTTTCATGTGCTCTTTCATTTACCTATTGCTTTATTTCGTCCGATCATCGACTACTTACAAAGCGTCTGGCTACTCATTACTCCAGTTACCCTGTGTGCTTTAGCAGCTCCAACTGAATAGGTTGAACATCGGTGATAAGGGCAGACAATGTGTCTTGTTTCAACGCAAGTCACTGGGGAGATTTCATGCTTTCCCGTATTATCCTACAATGTCTATCACGTCAATTCAAGCAAACAAATGATAAAAACCAGTAAAATGGGAGAATCGTTGATATCGAAATTATTGATGGGGGGAGGGGGGGGTGAGTTTCTGAGGAAACTGGGAGTTACGTCTATGGGAGCCAAATTATGTCATCAATTCAGTTGACAAAACCAAACTATCAAAAGTATTATTGTGTCATTGTAAACATTCTGAACAGCAAAGGTACTTGAAACACTTAGGAATGAACTGTAAAAGTTGTGAATGTTTCGAACCATGAAAATCACCCCCGCTATTCTGTCCAATACCGAAGAAAGTATCGGCTCCTTATCTGTTATTTAGAATTTTAAAATAGCTCACCATTACAATGCGATGTTTTATGCATGAATGGTTGACAGTGGTTCGTGAAAAGTGTAAAGTGCGTTTTAAGCCAGGGGGCGGGATCACATCTTTTCGCAAGAGCAAGGCAATCAGTAAGAGGCAAATAATTTTGCAAAACATGCTTCCCTTAGGTCACAAGTATGTTTTACAGTGGTTTTCGTTTTTTGAAAAGGCGTTTTCCAATTGCGCACTGCACATTGCTACCTTAATGCACTTCATGATCCAAGTTGAAAGTTAATACGTGTCTATCTACTGCTGATCAACATTTTAAATATTCGACACTCTAACCTTTTTGTTTTCAAATAAAGGCGCCTTTGGAATTGCAAGGTTAATAATTACAGGAAAACTCACCGAGCCAACTATTTTTTCACAGACACTATGTATTAGTTATCTGAGCTGTGTGTCCGTGATACACAGCTAAAAAGTTACAATTCAGTAGATTTAGCTAATCAGTTGTGTTATTGATGGTAGCAGGCCCCAACTTTGTCTACTATATTTATTAAACTTGCATGAGTCGTACTCTGACCGATTGATTTTTAAATCATTTAACAAGAACGTCTTTGAATATTGCACTTTAACTTCAAAACACTTTTTTTTACATAAAATTGAATGAAGATGAAAGAGAAAGCTAACACTTAATATATTCTTACTTTTGAAGAGGTTTGCATCCTATGTGGCTATTTTTACCGCAGTAAACGTGCCTGCAGGTTTTGTTTTGTGTCAGTAATAACTCAACACTAATTGCTTCTAACAGAATGTACTAAGTAACTGTAAACGATGATATTACAGGTCATCTTAATCTTGATTTTTGGAAAGGAAACATCGTGGTCGAGCTAAAATATGGCTGATGAATACAAAATAACCTTGCATAAACTTTCTTGACTACCTCACAATAACTTTAGGCCGAATGACTTTCGATAAAAGTAATAATCTATATATATCTTATCTATAGGTAAGTGTTACCTCAGGCTTGAGAGAACCACTTACAGAAAAGATTAGTTCAAGTTTGGTAGAGCACGAACATTTTAAACACCCACGCTGTTTTTGAAGAAACAAATATATACAAAGAAAGAATGAAGAAATAAGTCAGTAACATTGCTATGGACGTCAATCATTAAACGTGGAAAAGGTATATAAGTGTGAAAACATTGCATTTTAGCATAGGACGTCACACATAGGTAATGTGCCTTAAAACAGGAGGAAAACATGAAGTTGGTGATTCTTCTCACGTTTCTTATGCTTTTTCAGGCTGGTAAGAATTTGAGAATGACGCTCTGGCTTAGTTTTAGCTTCAGAAAAAATCTGACTTATAATGACTACTATAAGATATTCTTTTATTTCCTTCCTCTAGAAACGATTTTAATTTGTTTCGAGGGAATTGCTCTTTATGGACATCATATGATAGACAATAAAAGGTCGTGACTTAAAATTATCGCACATGTATCTGACCCGAATAACATCAACTTTAATTTTCGTTTAAGAAAGTGAGTGACACTTATTGATTTTCGTTCAATAAAATCAGCTAATCGTAGCAAACTCTTAATTTTTTACCGAGTGGATGTCCAGGTGATTCGTTTTCAAATGTAATTCTTCATAACGACAACAAAATAAATAATCAGAAAGTACTACTAAAGCTGAACCAAGATAAAAGTGAGAACACCAAGAAAAATTACAATAATAATAATAATAAAAATTAAACTTGATACGTCACCAAGATTTTGCTTCGTTTTGCTCCTCTAAAAAACCAAAACACAAATTCTTGAAATTCTGCTTTTCAAAGAGGAAGAAAGATAATTTTTGAATCCTACAATTTTTTTCTTTTTGAAAGCGTCATTTATTAAAACAAGAAGGGCACCAGATCAACATGAAAAATATCTTTTTGATATTCTTTTTTCCTACATTTTTGTCATAAAAAATTATCACTATTAGGTGACGGAAATACTTAAATCGTTATAGGATATCAAGTTTACACCTCTAAAGGTATTCTTTACGCCTTATCACATATATACCTTATATCGAGATTTTTATACCTATCTGCTTTGTATTTGCATAAACAAGGAAACATGGCGTCATCCTCGTCCCAGCCCTTTGGCTCATGTAGCGAGAGAGAGTTTGTAGAACAAGCTGTTGGTGTCTGCGAGAAGATCTTTTATATGGAATTGGCAAGGAATCTTACTGCAGATTGCCGGTAAGGAGGAAAAGCTTTCATTTCTGTAAAGGAGATATGATTTTTGTTTTACTGAGCAGTTACAAAATAAGAACGAATACTTCTTGTCATCAAACTCATATTTTCATAAGGGATCTTTAACACTGGTGCCTAAACAAGTTTTGGTTCAAATTTTTAAACTGTAGTATTCCTTCTGCTTTTTCGCTCTTTGCCAATATATTTTTTATTCAATCAGTGAGAGACGAGAGAGATTTAAATCATTGTTTATTCACGACAAAGAACGAAACAAACTCACCGGAATACATGACGTATCCACACCAGAATAATTAACACTTTACCGTCTATGGCTGAACGGGTTGAAATTTTCCACGTTTTTCTCCAAACAGCACGGTGCATGCGCAACTTTCAGCATGTTTTGTTAAAAAGACCCGCCAGTGCCTTGGAGGATACTTCAGTGAGGACCAAATAGACTATGCGGTCAACAAAACAGCGCTGTTCTTAAGGCAAACTGGCTCGCCTCAGTGGTACTGCTCTAATAAACCAACCAATATGTCATCCTTGGATCCAGACCTCAGACAGCATTTTCCCTGCAGTGATAAACTCTTCGCTGAGGGATACAAATGTACGAAAGACTTCAGAGAAATCTTCAACACTAACAGGAGTGACCCCAGATTGTGCGGGTGAGTATCTTGTATAGGAAACTTGATGTGTCACCTGCGTGGTTGAGATACTCTCTGTGTTACAGTGATGCATAGCCTTGCCCGAACAAGAAAAAAATTGGTTTTTTTCACAAAAAGCGGCGATTTTAATCTACATTCAGTCGTTGAAACTGTACGCGTTTCAAGACCTTCTTGAGTATGTTTAACCTACAATATAATTTTCATGTGTCTGTTTGTTTGTCTTTTCATGATAAAGATAATGTGATAAGCCATTCAGTTCTATAATCCTCAGCCCAGGGTACTGTAACAGTAAGAAATGAACAGGCTTTCTTTCAAGGGTGTTGACTTTGTTCAACTGGATAAAATTATTGAGGAAAACAAATTAAAAGGAAAATGAATAAATAAATGAATAAAAAAAAAACTAAATGGACATGTATAATTCTTGGGGTATGAGGCAGAATTTCAACCTTGTTTCTGTAGATTAAAGATATAACCTAACATACATTTATCTCGTAATTTTTCTTCAGAGCTTTTTCTGCGGCCAGGAATTGCACACAGTCAGTGTTTGATCGTAATTGTAACGGTAGCATTCAGGTACCATCTGAAAACCGGTTCAACCCGTTTTGCAAAAACACTGGAAATGCAACCGTTGTCGCATATCAAGCCCCCGAAAAAATAGACACTAACGGGAATTGTACGCAAACGGTCTTTGATCGTTTCCGTAACGACACCATGCCCGTACCAACGCAAAATGAGTTCAACCTGTTTTGCAATAACACTAGAAATGGGACCACAATCGTATATCAAGCCTCGAGGAGGCCAGAAATCAGCGGTGCACGCAGGAACATAAAATCGCTTTCAAGGATGTTGAGTATTACACTCGCAGTGCTGAATGATTTTGTGATAAGGGGTTTGGGGTCGAACTGAAAGACTGGATCCTGGACTGGATAGTAGCAAAAAATGGACGTCAGATTTTAAATTTGACAGCTTAGCGTTGTCCAAATCATTTTGAGTTATCTTTTTCTGAGTTAAGAAATCATAGAAAGAAATCAGTAATGGACACATTGGGTTCGGCATGGAATACCACAGTAATCTGATAAAAGTTGATGTCAAAAACCCATAGATTAAGTTACAAAATAAAGGAGAATCATCGTCCTGTCCTTCCTGTGTCGTCCTTTGAATCTTTAACTTTATTCTCTTGTAAGGTTCAATTTTAGTGTAACCATAATGTTAACATCTACCTTAGGAAGAGCTGAGAGATCGATGTCGATACTACACACAAGAAACCTGTGCTTTACTCCATTTCATTTCACCGTTTAAAAATTTTAAAATTCCATCTTGCAGCATTAAACATAAAAATCATAATATTTATTCCATCTAGCAACAGTTACCAAGAATGGCTAATTACTCTTATTTAATCTCTACTTGACTAGTTTAGAATCGATAAAGTAGGCAACTCTGTCAGCGAGCCATAAGTCTGACATAAATAGAATGGGCGTCTTCAATGCGGCAATTTCAAAAGCAAAATTTAGACAAACAAAAAAAAAACAATAATGATAAAAAAGAGAAGGTTTTTTCTAGAATGCTTCTTTTAAATTGTTGTTTTGTTGTTATGTCGAGTAGTACAATAGCTCTCCCGGCTGCCATGGACATGGCGCGACGGCTGCTTAGAGACCACGTGTATGACGTTAATGAACTACTCCAAGACAAATCATCGTGACGTTAAAAATCTAAATGACTAAAAACACTCTACAATTTATCGTTAGTAAAAGTGGACTGTACATATTACTTGGCCATCTATGGGTTACATGATCGATATAGGCTGTCAAGCCGTGCGGCTGATAACTACGGTAGGGCAAATTATTGCATGATGTGAGGGCGATACGGGTGTTTGAGCACTGACAATGATCTTATAGAAATGAAGCGGATGCAACGGATCACTGAAAAATTGTTTATGTGAATATCAAAATCATAAGTTGTTTACGCATAAAGAATCACGACATTGATTGAAAACATGGACGCCATCTTATGGGTTTACAGTCATCATCTGTTATTTTTCTAATTATGTTTAAGACCTTTGCTGTTGGTTGGATTTTCTTTTTATCAGGTGAGCTAAACGCCATTAGAGCCAAACTAAACTTCATCATTGCATATATGTGAGCTTCGCCATTGCATAAATTTTCGATACCAATTTGATCCCCTAATTCGCTTTGACATAAAGATAAAAATTGCAAGACGAGGAAAAATGACTCAGAACAGAGCGATTGTAAGAGACAAATCTCTAAAAAACGCTGCAGACGGAAACGGACCTAATTATGGACTCGACTCTTTCCGCTTTTAGCATATTTATGCTGAAATTAACAGTGCAAGGTCTACATTTTTACCTCCCCCACGGCTTGTTTTTAATAATGATCACAGTCTGATGTTCCTTTAAAATACTGAATATATGATATAGCCAAATCGTCAGGTTATTATAAAAGACATTTCGATAAATCTTTCATGACAATCGGCATCGTGTCTAAGCCAAGTTGTTCCGCCGTTCCTCCTGTTCTGCCGGAGCTGTGTTAAACATTTGGAGTATAGAAATCAGCTAAACAAAATATTGTTTGATATAAGAATCTCTACATTCGTTTGTTTCACGAAGCTTATTGAAATTTATTTTTTGTTACCGCGTCTTCTACCCAAAGCTGTTTTATTAGAAAGATGCAGCGGATTACAAATGGTTGGAAGCTGCACTTTTCAAGAATACATTGACAAGGCTCGACAATGTACGACGGCGTTTATTGCAGATCTACAGAAAGATCCTTTTGCGGATTGCAAGTAAGGAGAAATCAAAAGCGTTTGTTGGAGTCTGGATGAAACTTGAATTATTTAGTGTTAAATGGTCTAAAATAGTAACCTTTAGCTCGAGAATTGCATAACCATTTACTCTTAATCCTTCAACTCCAGTGAGTGATTAGGAAAGAATTTCTCTTTACTAGATCTATACAATATCATGCGGACAAGTGATGAAAATAAAGAAAAATATCAATTATGGAATTATTATTAGTTGATCCGATACCAAATTCTCCAAACTAACATAATGAGAATCGTTTGACAGACAATGAGGAGAATTACTAATGAGATCTTTGGAGTTAAAGTGTTAAGTTCTCCCTTAAGACGCAGCTCACTTTCTTTATTAGGCTGACAAGTTCGACGATAAACACACAAGCGATCAAACATTCATTTATTATAAGAAAAAATGATGATCAAACAAATCTCATATAACACGTATATCTTTTCATATCACCTGTTTGTTAGATTAAAAATGCATCGATACTTTAAAGTGAAGCTTAATTTTGATCACCTCTGAGGGTATAAAAGTAAGGAAAGGTGTCTGGCTGAAGAATAGTAAAGTTATAGAAAGTGATGAAAGAATTCCAAATGGAGTCAGAAAAACATCAAGTCACTGTGTGAGGGAGATCTTCCGTCTCACAGAGATCTTCCGTCTCACAGAGATCTCTGTCCGTCTTGAAAATGGTGGAAGTCGTGGACAGCTCATTACTTATCGGGGGGAGGGGAGTGGGGAGAGATCGGTGACGAAATTCACCAGATCCTCTCATAAGGCTCTCTAATACTTTTATGATCCCCTTCATAGGCAGTTAATTGGCAGTCAATCGACTATACTTCCCCCTTATACTCTGTTGGCGTTGACTAATTCCACCTCAGCTCCTCCATGAAATCCTCGCGATCTTCCCCCCCCCCCCCGAAAAAAATTATATGATCCTCAGCCTTTACCCCTACCCCCGTCCAGGCGACAAATAGCGACTGTTCCTTTATATTGATTGACCTTGATGTTGTTTTAGTTGTAAGATTCATCTGACAGTTTACATTCTGTTCTTCTGAACCCAGAATAATTTATGACAGAATGGTGGAGTGTACCAAAGATTACGTAAGAGATTGCGTTAGAGGCCTTGTACCCGATAATGATATTGAAGCCTTTTTAACGGAGGCAGCTAAGCAACTGAAATCTGAAGACTTTTACTGCAAGGATGGATTGTTTTCCAAGCCAATTCTGATAGACGAACAGAAAAAAGAAATCCCATGCAATGACACATTTTTCAACGAATCCAGAGTATGTGGAGACACATTTCAAACGAAGTTTAGGAGAAACAGGGCTGACAAAAGTCTTTGCAAGTATGTTCAATATTTGAGAAAGTATTCTTGGATTGTAGTGCTGAGAAATTAAATGTAGAGAGGAAGGCGCTATTTGGTTGCACTGAATGTTACAAAACATAATAATAATACTAGCTTTAGATAGTGAGTGATCAAACAAAATGAATTTTTTTTCTCTGCATTACATTCTCCTATGCACCTCACCTCAAAATTCTTTGGCGTATTCGTTGAATTCAAGATTGAAGACGTTTTACTCTTGACTTAAAGACTTTCTTTTCACTAATTTTTTTGTATTGTCATTGTTGTCAATAATCATGTCAAATTTAATGGCTCAGAATAAGCTACTTACACTCAATTTATAATCATATTTTCATTCATAGGGAATTCACGGCCGCAAAGTCATGTTTAAAGGAAGCAGTCGATCAACATTGTCAATTTGACGCAGACGCAGCGGAAATATTACAACCGGCCTTTGATGGGTACAATCCATTCTGTATTGTTTCATCCGAGGAGGAAGGTGAGATATCATCATAGGCGATAAACAAATAAACAAACAAACAAACAATGTTCAGACACTCTCTGAGGATACTTTTTGCTAACTGCGTCATAATATCATATGCGATAATTGTCGCTTGAAGAAATGATGTAAAATGACCTTCTAGGAATCAAAGCATGCCAGGAAACAGAGTTTCAATCAAAGAGCTGAGAATAAGCCAAAAAAGGGTGAAAAGCAAGGATACGGATTGGGAAGAAACAGTTATTTGGAGAACATAAAAACCTCACGTCAAATTAAGACAAAAAATCCTTGACTTTTCTCCTGTCTTTAACAGGAATGTATCTCGTCCCTCAAAACCTGAACACAACAATGATTTGGTCAGAGCCTCTCAAGATTATCATTAAAAAACTGATAATGATAATATAGCTATACTGATAATCATACTGAAAACAATAATGATGATGACAACGATAAAATTAAAACGACATACAGTCCATCAAAGCAAAAGGTACATGGTTGAAAACGTGTTCTACTTTGGTTGAGATCCCTTGATCTAATTATTGCCTTTTTCCTTTTTTTTTTGTTGTAATAATCTGATTGACATTTGGTGAACTGACTCAACCAGATGAAGATGAAGGTTATTATTTACAGGACGCTCAGTTGTTTGATCAGTGTTCTATGATCGCACAGCTGAACAGAACCAGACAGTGTATTACACTTTTTGTAAGAAGCCTACAACAAGATCCGCAGGGAAACTGTAGGTTCGTGTCAAGTACTTTGTGATTGATTAATTTAACAAAGACTTAGGGAAATGTCGGTAGATATTAATGTCAAACATAGCATCACTGACGAGAGTCAAACAGTCAGCAAATACAGTGACAATAGTAACAACAACCACAACAATAACTCGCTGTTTCGTTTTGTTTTGCTTTTTTTTTCAACTCGTTTTAAGGAGTTCACATATAGTTAATAAACCCGATTTTATTTTTTCCCGTAATTTCAATATTTTTCTGTCAGTGCCGGATTAAAATAAGCGTTTCAAAGTTAAAATTAGTATTAACTTATCCATTTAAGGCAAGGAATAGAACGTTCACTTATTTTTAGCAAAATTATTTTCGTGTGCTTGGGGAGATAAACATATTTATTCGGAGGTCGTTCAAATCTTAATTCGTATTTACTAGATTGGTCTGTGCGGAACACGAATAATTCTTATTCTTTTCCCTTCATCCAAAAGCGTGAAATACATTTACATGCAAGACTGTATTGTCTGCATGCTCCGATCCTGTCTTCAGAGGTATGGATTCATCTCTGAAGCTGACATTGAAGTACAAGCTGAAGAGTCCTTGAATCGCACAAACCCCGAGAATTTCTATTGTCGCGGCATGTTAGAGGCACCAAAAGCCTCCTCGGAGGATGAAGATCTTCAGTGCGATGAAGGCTTCTTTGAGGAAGAAGTAAAATGCCTAAAGGAATTCAACGATACTTTTATTGGCAATGTTTCGGATCCGACCCTTTGCAGGTAGGAATAACGCCAATGAAAAATCGAATATAAATTTTGCAGCACGAGATTTAGACGTTCATAATTGGCGCTCAATCTTACAAAAAACATGAAAGAGTTCAGAAATATTTTCATCGCCTAAATATGTCGAACACGAAGTATGAAAACTACACTTTTTATTCTATAGCTGTGCACTGTCGATGGAGGCAGGAAATTTGAGGGATTTAACAAATTCCTTTTGGTTCATGAAACCTGCTGTTTGTTTCATTTACAAATAGTGGGCATATAAGGTTGAGTGAAGCGAAAGGTCAGAACACTTTTGTTCACGACATCTTTTATAAAGGGTTAGTAACAAGTTCTTAGAATTCGAGGATCGCATAATCTTCCCATTTTATTGCGAAATCTCCTTCATCTCGAGTCTCAAATTTTTTCATACAGCCTGACAGTATGAAAATAGGCTGGCGTTATCGTTGTTAGCAACGATAGTTTGTGCACAAGGCTCTTGCGTGAATGGAATTCATGGACTAATCTTAGTTACACTTCAGCAAAAAATATGTTTTGTGTAGAGGAAATTGTTTAGTCTTGTTCCTGCATGGCGGACAATGATCCCCGCCCTCAGGCGGGTGTCGAATATTTATCATCTACCATCACTTGTTTCATGTACAGGTTTTTAACATTCCTTCAGCAAAAAATGTAGCTTTCCACATTTTGACTTTGAAAATTTTGAATTTATGTATGAATATTGTGCCCTTTCTCTAATTTAATTTCTGGCAGCAAATTTTCCGAATCTAAACAGTGCCTCAGAGATCTCATAACAACTCGCTGTCCAAGTGGGAGCAGAACATCTTCGCTTGAGTTCGCTTTGATATTTGATGATTACAATCCTTTTTGCTGGAGAGGCACTGATCAAGAACAAGGTACTCCCATAATTAGCCCCTATGATAATAATTTACTTTTTATTGTAGACTTGTTAGAAGCCCTTTTTTGACCATTCCAGTCTGCATGAAAGAGCAAAAACTTGTGCCTATTTTGAGACAATGATATGGGAATTGTCGTATCCAATGTCACTGCGTACCTACCCCTCCCCTAACTCAACATTAACCCTAAACTTGTTATGAGTTGAACATCGTCGAGTTAGGGGAGGGGTAGGGGCGCAGTTGCTCAGATATGACATTGATCCAAATTTTTGCTCAAATGAACTCCAGTTTGTATCTCAAAAGAGCATTTCTAAAGCTAAAAATTGATTTCCAAATCATGTAAATAAACCTTTTTAGCCTTAGGAATGCTTAGCATCTAATTTCTTCTTAAACTACTGAATCAGTCAGTAAGGCCACGTGAATAAGGAAATGCTCAGCAACTGAAGAAGCTCTTGATTTTTAATAGTATGGAGAGTTTGAAAGGAGAAGATGTATACTGATGTCGAAAGGGTTTGAAGCGAAAAGACTTATTTTACTGCGCATTAGATATTGCATATCCAATATCATAATTTCACTTTTTTTATGGAAGTCATGCGCGTAATCAGTCTATGTCTTAACTATTTTTCTTTTTATTGTGGTCTTTTACTCTTCTTTCTCAGATGCAGCCCTCCCGTCGCCTACAGAAGAATTGAGCGACCCATGTTTAGCTGAATTTCCAGCAGCTCCGTTATTATTGCGATCAAAAGGAAGACCTCTTTCTCAATCTCATTCTCTATCGTTTGTCTTTTTTTACAATCTTCTTGGCTACTTGACAATGTGGATAAGTCCTCTAAATCAGAGGTAATGCGAAAGCAAAAATCCTCTAGATTAATTGTACGTACTGGTTTGCAGCAATATTTAATAAAGCATCATATTTAATTTAAGTAAATGAATGCCGTTAAAAGCCAGAATAGTTGTCTTTGTTGAGAACAGTACTTGTGTTTCATGGTTTCTTTGGTTCATTTCACATAACAAAAGGACGCAAACAAACAAGCAAATAAATGACAAATAGTGATGATTGTTTCCCATTCTCCTTGGAAGGTTCCGGCTAACTTTGAACGGTTGCGTAGGATGTCCGACGGTTCATCTGATTTCAGACAGTTTCCTTTGATTTCGGAGAGTTACGTCTGATTTCGGATAGCTCCGTTTGATTTCGGAGAGTTCCGTTTGATTTCGGATAGTTTCGTTTGATTTCGGATAGTTCCGTTTGATTTTGGATAGTTTCGTTTGATTTCGGATAGTTCTTTTTTAATTTAAGTCGGTTCTGTCGGATTTTGGACTCTTCCGTCCGAAACGGTTTCAGTTAGAAGACCAAAATCGGAACAGAACAATTTTATTTTTAATATCGGACAAGCAATAAAACACAACTCTTAACTATTACAGACTGGCTGCCTCGAACAGCTCTCGAGGCAATTTGCTGTCTATGCTATACATGCGTATATTAACATTATTATTACACTACTATAAAGGTTTTTGTGTCGGTTGAAATTAAACAGGGCAACGATTTTCATAAATACTAACGTGAAAAGCGTCATCATGAATAAAATTTGTGTACCATGTTCTTCAATACTTTGAACACAAGTTTTGAAAATCCCCACTTTCACTTCTTTTTTGTATTAGCTTCTTTGCCATCTTTCACCCCAGGAACTCTGATTCATAAAATTATGCATTGCAGCAGTCAGCCAATCACTTTCGGTTTACGAGATTATATTTATATCTGATCCCCCTGCAAAAATTTCAAACCAAACCATCAGTCACGTGACTACTTGTCTCAATCAAATGATCGTACTGTCTCACTTTCCCTTTCTTAAATAGTCATCATTATCAGATAGATATAAAGACGCATCGAAGTTCATTTTTCCCGTTTGCCGTTGCCTTAAAAATTATGCAAAAAGAGAAATATTAGCTTATGTTATGGTCAACAGCTCTTCATGGGCATCTACAATGCATTCTTGTCTCCCAGTTGTGTGTTTGAAGATTAGGACGCCATTGATGGAATCTCGCTCCAGTGCACTCTCAGAGTAACATCGCCACAGTCTCCCGGAGGTAGAGTTTACTCGACCGAACAGCGCTTTCATGGCGTTAGGGCAATTGCATGAATTGATGGCGTGCTTATCATTGCATCTGTCATCCCGAAGAGAATGAACTGTATAGTCTGGGAAAAATGCAGATATTACCGTTAACATCTACTCAGGAAAGTCAGGTGTTTAGCAGGGGAGGGGAGGGTATGTTTGTAATAGGAAAAGATAAAGTAGTTAATCGTAAGTTGAACCTTACATCCAGTGTTTTAGTTTTGAAAACTGGTAGAATATCATTTCAGAATTCTTTCGGAGATATAAAATAAAAAATACCTATTACCGAAGCAAAAGATAAGTGAAAATACGGTTGAAAAGTACATTTCTTAGATTTCTTTTCCTAGTTGCGCACTTGACAATTTTGTCGCTTACATCGCTAATTTTCTCACTTACCCGTTTAGCAAGTAGGTGATTATAAGATCAGCTCAAGATCAGTTAAATTTTGAATCTCCGATATCATATTCAAAGGAATTAACACTAAGTTTCATCCACGCTGACCTATTTTTGAGACCGGTTATTATTTATCACTAATAATATTCTTATGATCCCTCTTTTGTAGCAATTAATAGGCAATAAATAATAATAATAATAATAATAATAATCCATAGTCCCCTTCATACTTTGCGACGACTGATCCCCTTTCCGTTACGCCTGAAAACCTTGTGATTGCCCAAATCTTCGAATTTCCACTCTCTCTTCCCGCGCGCGATAAAAAATGACTGGTGATTTACACATATAAACTGTACCTGGCACTAAGCACTCCGAGTTTTCGATGAGTTGTATGTCTCCGTGGAAACCATTCCTGAATGAGCCCCAGCTCACCTCCGTCCCCCAACTGGAGCGACAATCACGTGATAGGGTCACTATAGTGTTAAAATCCAAAAGAATATCCCAGAAGTTGACACCTGTGATTTTCCCTACAAACGATTTTTCCAGGACAAAATTGCTTTTAGAATCATCGAGACCCTGTCCGATAATGAAGTTCCCAGAAATATGTAAAATGCGGTCTGTTTTCAAATTCATCACAGTAGAAAGTTCTCCATCACTATAAATATTTACACTAACAGCTAATCTGCGCCATGTGAAACAAACGTGATGCCATTGATTGTCTGTTAGTCGCAGACTTGTTGTGTTCCTGAAAAAATGAATGAGAATAGAGTCAAAATTACCAGGTTCACGTATTGAAAAGAAAAACTCGCCATCATTTTTCCCAAGAGAGCAGGATAAAGAATCATGCAATCTGATTGTTGCAAACCTTAGAGCGGGAAATCCTTTTTCTTATCTCTGCCCAAAAACCTGAGTTACAATAGAGCGAGGAGTTGTTTGGCGGTTGAGCGTGATGAGTGCAGTTCGTAAAAATATTTCGACCGGGTTTGCTGTGTCGTTATCGCACGATACTCACCCTTTGTCCTCACCGTATCTGAAATCCAGATTGCCATCTGAAGATACCGCGAGAAGAAAACTGTCATTGATGGAGTCTTTATTGTACGGGACGTATTGAAAGAGAGTTCCCTTTTCTTCCGTCTTATACCATGCACATGCTGTGAACCTCTTCACACTGTCTTTGACCGAAAAGCTGGTGTTGGCAACATTTTTTGTCGAACGGGTCGGAAAGTGAAGAGTGAAGTCACTTTCTTCCTCTACAGACAGTAATATCAAATTTACACATGAATTATTAATTATCACTCTGGTAAAATTTTTTTGTCGATATCTAATTTCAGTTACCTCCTAGAAAGGCCTAAGCCAGTCCTTTTTATAAAAGAGAGAAATAATGTGTGATTATGGTTTGATTTATTTATAAGTATAAGGGGGGGCACTATGGTAATCAGCCAATAAGAAAGAGGATTTGAACCACGTAATATTCACGAACCAATCATTGAAGTATATGATTGGTTCATTCGTTCTACGTGATACAAAATACTCTTCTCTTATTGATTGTACCAAAGTGCCCCCTTATTTACTAACCCACTATCCGACCTTGCCAAGAGTTTCCTTAATGATACAGCTTTTATGACTTAACTCCTGGGAAAAATCTCCTAGGAAAAATATTTCAGCACATCTTCATGGGAAATACCTTTATGGACGTCTTCTGAATTAATAGCTTCCTTCAGAGGTAAAAGCGCTTCTGGAATATCATCCTTAAAAGCAAACCAGGAAAAGACGTTTCCGCTCTCTCTGCCATTTCCACGGTATAAAGCGACAATGGTACGTTTCTCTAAGATAGTTCCCCAGATATTAAGACCACCCACGTAACCAGCTAGTGCAGATTGACCGAAAGCTCTTCCTAAAACCAGTTTGGTTTGTGCTGGGAAGGAGTAAACGCGTTGTAGCTCATCAATGCTGGCTACTTTACCATCCACCATAACTTCAAAATGTCCCGTTGCGGAATCCCAAAGGGAGCAGAAAAAATGTGATCGTTTGTCTAGAAGCGGAAAATTTAACCACCTGCCGGAAAGAGAAATGTTTCAAAAATGTGGTGAGATCCAGTTTCTTACTTACACCGTTGTCTCTTCAGAAGAAAATTTGCCAAAACAGCACTGTTACATTCTTAAATTTCGTTGACTCAGCTGTATTCAAAAACCTACCTGACAGTTTTCTCATTCATGTTGAACATTCCTCTGTAACCTTTAAATTTCAATCCAAAGTAAGAGAAGGTGTCATTTTTTAAGAGTGAAATCATGGCGCCTGCTTTTTCCATTTTTGGCGCGTAAATCCACAAACACATGGTAAACTTGATTAGTTCTTGAGGAATGATAGCTGTGACATTTAACAAATCTTCTCGACGTTTTTTCCCGAAGTGGACACTATACAACTCAGTGGAATCTGTTGGTACAACCACAGGGCGTAAAAATGAAGTCATGCTACATCCTTACTACGCATGCACAAGTAACACGGCTAAACGACTGCGCAAGCTCTTACCTGCCAGAGCCCATCCTCTTTTTGTTGTTGTTTTGTTTTACACAAAAGGCGTGTTTGTTCATTGTGGTTATGATGTAAAATGCATGTTTAATCGCTTTCCTCTCGATACTAAGACACTTTTAAGAGTACACCGCGACGTTTCAAGTTTATCTGTGTTTGTCACGATTTACCTAAATATGTGGCGTTAGAAAGACATATTCGTACGTCTCCACGCAGACCACTCTGTAATCCTAGTAACCGCCAGTCTACTTGGTCCCCAAAGTTTCTACTGCTGCAGTTGTGAGTGTATGACATAAATTCCCTTGAAATATTTATCCAACGACTCCAAATGTTAAAATGCGAAATTTTTCCTAGAGAAAAAATGGTATTTTCAAGTGTAACAACGTGTAATATATTTTCTTTTGAGCTTTTTCTTCTTTGTTACATTTACTGCGGTTCGTGTTCGATCAAACAGTCATTTCTTTCTTTGTTATTTTTAGTCAGGTCTTTCAATCCATTAGTCAGTCAAGTAGTAGGCCCGGCCTGTTCGTCGGTTGGTCGACTGTTCAGCCAACAACCCAACCCACCAATTACTACATTAATCATTCGATTATTTTTAGACAGTAAGTCAGTCAGTCAGTTATTCATCCAGGCAGTCAGTCAGTTAGTCTCTCAGTTAGTCAGTTAGTTAGTTAGTCAGTCAACCAGTCAGTCAATCAGTTAGTCAACTAGTCAGTCAGTCAATCAGTCAGTCTGTCAGTCAGTTAGTCATTCAACCAGTCAGTCAGTTCGTCCGTCTTCAAACAATCCATAAATCAAGTTTATTCCAATAACATAACACATCTCCACATATTATTTATTTTTAAAACAGAATTGGATGATTAGTCTCCGATATCCAACCTTGAAATGAACCATTCAAACGCTGATTGGGCAAAGCCCTCTGCCCAAGAATAAGCTGCTCCCTTCCTTCAAACAATCTTACGAAATTAGCTGCCTTATTGTCGGGAAACCCTTTCAGACTGTCCACGAATAAGTTGAGGCTGCCTTTCGGGTATTTCTTACTCAGGCATAAGTGATGCCAGTGACCGTCGTTGATTGGTGCAATGTAGAATGCTCTATGAATGAAAAGATGTAAAAAATATGAACCAAAATCGCATATCTTACAATTGAACCACATTATCATCTCAATTATGATTGGTTAAACCTTTTTCAAGCAAGAAGGATAGATATGTTTAACAACAGTTCCAAATGGACGGCACTTATATATGTTAGTATTTTGCGAAATGAAAAATTCAAATAGAAAAATAAAGAGAAATAAATAGACAAATAAAAAAAGAATTTGACGCTTTCTTCGTGATGGACTCATTACGAATAAATCTTTAGTCTCCTTGGTGTAAATTCTATTTTATCACTTGAACTGTGATGTGTTATTTTTAACTGCTTTCCTGGTTTTTGTGACAGAAGCTCCAAGAGCAATAAGTGGTGTGTGCGCAATGTCTTAAAATCTCATCATTATCATTATTATTTTTATCATTATTATCACTTTTATTATCATTATTCTTACAGGATAGAATGACGCTATTTACTAGTGAGAAGTGATATGTTGCTTGGCCGAGTTGTCCATCAATCTTCGAGAGCTGGAAATTCAAGATATTTTATCGAAGGGCGGGAAACAACCTCGAGAGAGAATCATGCAGCAAGAAAATACTCTAGATTTGCCTTGGAATATAAGCACCAACCCAAGGCTCTGTTTATCACATACAATAAGAATCATGAATACCTTTCTTTTCCTTCAGTTACCAAGACGCATTTTCCAGTTTCACTACACTGAAAATAAGCTGCTGATCCGTACGAAAAAAGAGTCAGGGTGCCTTTTTCTGAGGTCTGCAGCCACAAACAAAGTGTGAATGTTTCCAGTGGGTTGATATTTCCAGCAAAAACAACAAAGTTGGAAGTGTTGTTGGAGGGAAAGTGAAGGTTGAAATGATCGGCATCAGCTAAAAAAGCAGTCGATAAAATATGCAAACATTTTGACAATGTATGGTTTCATGAAAGTAGTTGGAGGGTTTAGTGTTCTTTGGCGAGTTTTCGAACTCATTTTTGTCGCTTAAAGGTCAGCTTCCTCAGCTCGACTAGTTCAAAAGTAGAGCGGTTATTGTCCCTAGTATTCTGTCTGTGCGTTGAGAAACGTGCAGAACAGAGCTAGGATTTCGCGACTTAGGGACGATTACGCCGAATTTAATTTCACTCGCTTAATAACACAAATGATGTTGAGGTATCAATTAGATTTGCGAAGTGTCTTCTATCAGTATGCGAAGTCGTGCATTTGTAATCTACTAAAGAAAACATAAAAAGCCACTCAGTTGCCATGGCGCATACAGTTTGATTCAGTTTTGTTGTCAACCATTGTTAATGACTTATGTACCCTAACAAGACACCAAACCTGTCCAGAATTCGCAGCGGTCCCCATATGTTTTCCTGTGACAAGAAAGTTGACTCTCCTGAACAACTTTCAAAACAGCGAGCTTTCATGCAATTGACATCTCCCTGCAACAAATCAAAAGAAATCATTTGTTGCTTCAGAGCAGTTATTCGGAAATGTTTTTAACGAAAATTGATCAATGTTTGTTTGGTGGTGCGACCCGACCCCATGATGCTTCTCTTCACCCAGTTATCGGAAATGTTTTAACGAAAAATGTTTGTCGACCCGACCCAAACCCCCTTCGTGCTTTCACTCCTTCTTCACTATTGCATCGTTTATCATGGCGCTTCGTTATACTAACTGAACGCTGGGCTACCATTTAAACACTTTCCTTCCCTTTCACCGATTCGTAGTTGATATTCATTTCAGGTGAAAAGGAAAACCCGGTGATCTGGCTTTTTCTCTTGTTTACTTGGGAAAAGGAAGCTTAATTTCTGTAGCCTGCAAAAAGTTTACAATAGGGATGTGTAATTGGGAAAGGTTCTTTAACTTTCCTGTAGAATTTCTCGTTATGTTATACTTCAGTACAGTCAAACCCTTTATATAATGTCTGAGTAAGTCTGAATCCTAAACAGAGTACATCTCTTTTTTGCATAAAAACTGGTAATATTTACTAACCAATTGGCTGGCTTCGTAATACGCAAGTCCATCAGACTTTTTGCACTCAGAAGGTGAGCATATACTTTGTGTGGCGTCATTCAGCTGACAGTTACCCTGCACGCTTTCATTTGAATTAAAACTGAAAGATCTGCATTCACGTGTCGCTGTACACTCCATTGCACAGTCCAAGGACGAAACAACTGTCACCCTTTTGATCTCATGATTCATCAAGGCAAATCCTAGGTTAAGGTATGGAAAAAAATTCATAATTACTCCTTTCCCTTCTTTCATTTGCTGTTATTGTTTAGGTGTTTTTTTAAATCCTGAGGTCATTCCAAAACGCAGCTTCGAGTAATTACAACAACGAACAACGGAGAAAGTTCTCTCTAAATTGTAAAATGGCCAAGAAATTTTGAAAACATCATTATATTTATCTCTGAATTTTATAAGAATTAAAAGCAGATCTGTTTTGACTCAGATTATTCTACCGTTACCGACAATTATAGCCTAGTTTTGAGACAAAAAATACATGCAATATGAACTGTATATAGTATAATTGTATACTGTATAATTGTATAATTGTATTATGCAAAAAAAAAAAGATGTACTCTGTTTAGGATTCAGACTTACTCAGACATTATATAAAGGGTTTGACTGTACTGTATATTGCATAACTAAGTATGTTCATCTATCTTATTTTAAATATCTTTGAATGTTCAGACAATAACATTCGCTTACCTGTTCCAACAAGTTCAAATCGTTTGGCTCTTGAGCACGATCCCGTGAGAGTTCGAACTGCGCACGGGAAAGTCAGAGAGAGGAGAACTACCATCGCTACCTGAAGAGGGGACATATTAAAATGATTATAACACAAACAACTTGGTGAGCACAATATGTTGTAATGCCTGAGTGCATCATTGAAATAAAGGCGATAAGGCTTTTAATATTGAGATTAGTTATTAAGAGGGTGACGATTATACGGTGAAAATTAAATTCATTTTGTACAATAAGTGTTAAAATATTTCAATAGTTTGATTCCGAATTGTACTCTGGCCCCATTTTGCTCTATAGCTCTTCGAAGAAGACAAATTTAGGTGATCCAGTGACAACAACCCACCTCTGGAAGGCCGAGATTTTCAAGTACTTATGTATATGATGGCGCAAAAAGAGAGGTTAAATTTAACAAACAGGCCAAAAGTAAAATAATTGCAATCTGATTTCGGCCGTTTTAAGACGAGTGAAAATATTTTCTGTAGCTTAAACAAGTTATTTTTCGCTATTTTTTTATAGTGAAGATTTGGAGATTTTATGAAAAAGAAGTGAAATCCGAGTTTAACTATTTTGTATGTGTTTAAGCATGCAATCATTTTGCTTAGAACGGCCCAATGATGGCCACTTCTCTAACGACATTAAGCCACGGAATCACAAGACAGCATTACCAACTCTATTTGTTTCAATTATTAATGATTGTATTTCATAGCAAGTGCTAATGGATTTTTCGGTTAAAGAGAGTCATTTGACTATCTTAAAGGCAACAATTACAACCGCAAAAAGCAATTTTCTTCATCGTTGGTTTTGTTCAATTGTTTTTACTATTTTAGGTTCGGAAAGAAAGAAAATTGTACTGTTGTTTAGTAGTTTTTGAATGTGAAAATTGTAATGCAATTACTGATGATAATTTCATGAAAAAAAAATTCCGTTAGGTCTCTTGTAGCGGAGCTCGCAGAGCGTAGCCCCATAATTATACAAAATGGTAGTAGTAACCCATCAAGCCAGAAAAATTTGGACTCATGACCGTACGACAGTACAACCGACCGTACAAGGTGCTACTTTAACATGCGTGGTCAACTGTACCGCGGGCACGCCAACGCCACGGCTTTGTCCAGTAGTCCAGTGGTTAGTGCACTGGGCTCCGAGTCGGACGACCCGGGTTCCAGTCCTGGCCGAGGCGAGGCGTTGTGCCCTTGAGACATGCGGGAAAAAAATGCGAACTCCGCTTTTAGGCTTGGCTAAATCTATACATTATTTCACTTCATTAGGGAAAAAACCACGAGATGAGGAATTAGTAATTATTTGTCTCTCAGAGAGGGGGATGGGGTGGGGTGTGTTGGAATTAGGATGTTGGGGGATCACGTGGTTTTCCGAGGAAACGGAGGGGGGATCAGTCGTCGCTAACAGAGTATAGAAAATTAACTACCTATTAACTGCTAATGAGTGGGGGAGGGATTGGAGGGATTGTACAAATTTGCATTATACAAATTTGGAGTAATTTTCATCTTACGACCAAAATCCTAAAGCTTTGCCCTCCCACTCAGGTGACAAATAACGATCCGTTCCTTTATATTGGTGTAGCACTAGTCAACTCACCGTCTCTCAAACGTCAAACAACCTCGCAGCATGGGTTCCGCCAAGCGTGTAGCGCACGACATAATCACGATACTCGCACACCACACACTCGCTGCATTATTTGCCACGAAATTTTAAGCACTTGTCTGCTATAGCCGTAGATTTAGTTTCTTTCGGCTCCTAAATCTGAAGAAAACAAAAAATAGAACATAACATTCGCACAATGGTAACAAAAACATCTCGGTAAGAATATTATGCAGAGTTCAAATCTAATTAGTCTTACTGACGTGTCAAACTGGCACTAAAGTTAGATCAACAGGCATGGAAGTCGGCTAAAAACGTAGAAAAATCTCCTATTTAGGAAAGATGAAGCGTTAGTTTCTGTTCACTCCAATTCCTTTGAAGAAATTGTCCTGCAGCGGACAAATTAGTAAAAATACATTTTGCAGAGTTCAGTTCTAAACGGCATGGACTTACGTTAAACTTTTCAAAATTTTCCCCAATGTTGGTCGTGTCAAAATGGCGTTCAAACGTGTAAAACAAATATTGTCTAGTGTAATCTAGAAGTCTGACCATGAGCGTAGCAGAATCTCTCAGGTTAAGAGAGATGTAGCGTTGGTTTCAGTTCTCTCCAATCGCTGTAAAATTACGTCGCAAGGAATTAATTGATGGCCTAATAGCGTAGAAAATTTAATTAATCAAGCGACAACGTAATATCAGCAACAGCGGCAGCGAGAATGTTCGTTAAGAAAAATAGCGAAAGGTAAAACAACCGATGCGCACGTGCGTTTGAAAATGATCAATTTCCGTGCCATTCATTGCAAAACAACAACCTGGAGTAATCTCAATTGCGTTTATTTTGGTGAGCAGATTGAAGACTTTTAAAAATATATCTCGAATATTTTTTGAATACAGTAGTTGGAAAGAAGAGACATGGAAAAGGCTTGAGCGTGAGCACAAGACAGGTGATCTGAAGGCTTGTATTCAAAAGTATGCTCCATTCCATGTTTTTTTCGCTGCCAAGCACTAAAAGGATTTCAAAAACTCATTAATAATTCATAAGCCCATTAACCTATCAAATGGTAGATAATACATCACGTGCAGTGACTTTATATCGATAAACCTCATCCTTATTAGTACGCAGTGTTTTATCAGATATAAAGACACTGCACGTGACTTATGAATATTAATTAATTATCAACACAGAAACTGACACAACAAATGGTGGGAACATATTTAATGTTCTTTCAACAAATTTCACACAGTAAATTTACTTTTGCACCAAATTAATAGTAGAGTTGTGAAATACACACCTGGAAAATTCTCTATTCCATTAGTACAGTAATCTGGTAAAGGCATATTAGACAATACATCATCTGAAACTTCGAATTCAAGATCATGTTTTAAAAAACATTAAACATTACTTAACAAACGACATCGATTTAACGAAAACGCTTTTATCACATTTAAGCCACGAATGATATTAGAGACGTTGTGCCGGTGAGGGAAACTAGGTATGAGCCAATAACACTGATTAATTTTGATAGTATAGGTAGAAGGCACAGTTAGGGTAAAATCGACGACAGGAATTTTTTGAATCGGTTTGAAATCGTTTATAAAATTTAGAGAGATGAAGAATGGCGAACAGTTTTGAGCTTTGATACTGTTTCTAATTAAACATTACGCAGAGAAAAAAATGGCAATCGAATTCACCCAAAAAGGATGAATTACCGTTAATACATCTCGTTTCCCATTCCGCGGGAACGTGTGAAAGATTCAGTCGGTGAGGAGCCAAAGCTTGAAACGTCCGGCAGCTTTAGCGTCTCTTTACATGGGTTAATTTTCATTATCAACTCAGTCAATAAAACCAAATTATTTTGCTACATCCCTACCGACGGAACACCACAGTTTCTTTAGAAACTTTCTCCCTTTCATCATCAGTTACTTGTCAGGGACAGGGAATGGAACGCGAACTAATAATTTTTTGCGTATCGGAAAACGTATCAATGCAAAATTAAACAGGAAATGCTGAACATTTGAATGATTTGACACTTTATGTTTGAATTACGAGACCATTTGCGAAAATTGGATTAGAAATATTTTATTTCTTGTTCTTCGTTTGCAATAAAGTAGTTATAAAGTAGACAAGGTAAACGGTAGTTTTTCTTCACCAAATGGCATCCTTTTACCTCAAGAAGAAAAAGCGGTCAATTTTTTCGCATCTAAAACTTAAAACTCAGCAAGAAAAGTTTAAACGTTGTTTACGCTAAAGTTCGATCGAATACGAATCATCTGTTAAGTCAAAAAACTTATTTCGGACAAAAATCTCTGTACTTTACATGTCTTAATTGTTGTTATTTTAGAGCGATTGCGGAGGTCTTTCGAAAAATAAACATTTGGTCAAAACACAATAACTACAATGTAACAGGAAGCGCATCCGTTGACCAGTGCTATTATAAATATATTCGAAATAAAACGGGAAAAACTTAGTTCTAATGACATTGTACTGTTGACACAAATGTCACTATCGTTTTACGAATTAACTCCACTTCCTCAAGAATGTTTTTAATTAATTATATTGTTTTATCTTTGGGAATTTCGATACACAATGATTTTTGTAAAATATTAAGGGCGTAATTCCTTGGGTTATTTTTTCCAACTGAACTTTTTTAATAACCTGGCTGTTTTGACGCGCGAAAGAAAGGTCTCACCGGGATGATGGCTGTTGAGGCTGAAGGTTAACATTTTGACGAATTTTAGGCTTATGGAAACATCTTTCAATTGTTGTCAACTGAATTTTTTTGTCGCTAACTTTTTTAACGGCCAACAGTTACAATTTTTCAATTTTTTACGCCTTACGGCTAAATTTTTGTGGCTGTTTTACAGCTAACTCCGTTAAGCCCCTCCAGAAACATATCCCCTGTGTACCGTGTACGTATGAAAAATTTACAAAAGGTTAATCAATGTATTCAAATATGCTCTTCCAGAAAAACGTAAATATAATTGCTAATCGAAGTTTTCTCAGCGAATATCAAATGAAATTTTTGCTTGCGGTTCACTTTTCTTGGGAATAAAAAGTCTCTCATTTTCGTTTCATCGTAAGGCCAAAAATCGCGTCTCTGTTTTCATATTTTTAGATGTCAAGAATTGTCAGTTGCTATTTTAGCATAGCTCTAGTCAAGATTTACGATTGCCAAGTACTGACGTATTAACATCCGCTTCAAAACTTGTAGCGACGCGATTTCTGCATCTGCAAAATCGATAAAATTAAGCTTTATAAATCCTTCCTCGACTAAGAGTTGTTATTCCATAACTGTTCGATTACGAAGGTTGATCGAAGAAAGATGAAGTCCATTTTGCTGTGCTTGTACCTATTTGCGCTTGGTTCGCTGGCTGCGGACATTCCAACCGAAATAAACAGCGACAGTGTCCAAGACGCGAGCACAAAATCAAACGGCAAGGAAAGTTTTGATCCCGCTTCGGGTAATTCCATAATCACAAAAAGAGCAGCTTCGAAGCGTAAGTAGATCATCAGCTGTAATTGCTTTTGTCTTGCGACATCTACTGATTTTTTTTTCTGTAACTTTTCAAATTAGAATCTGTTAAAAATTTGAAATTTTACTTTTTCTAGGGAGAATTTATAAGAGCCTTACATTTTTTCCATTGAATCACCATCAGCTAAACAGTCATGAAAAACGTGCCATGAACTTGAAGTTTTGAATTTGCGAGAACGAAATGTAGCTGAAGATGCTATCTCTAAAACAAGAAGAGTGAAATGGTCAAATTTGAATTGTTATAGAGAGTCGGAGCAAGTGAATATTTTATAATTCAATCATCGTCATAACCTATTTTAATATCTGGCGCTTTTTTTTTTTTTCAATCCACAGACGGTTTCTACCGACTGAACTCCTCCCCGGTGTGTTTTAGCGCAAGGGGAAACCTCTTTGGCACTGTTACGATGCCATTCGCTGGTAAGCTGGCTGCAATGAAATTGGTTCACCGTTACGGCTACGTCACCTGCCACAAGTACAACCCCATTCACTGGTCTCACTGGGGTTGTGGTCATTCAAAGGATTATGTTAACGTTGTCATAACAACATCACTGAACAGAATCCTTCTGCCACCAAACCAGTTCCTCAAGTTTAATCATCAAGCAGGAAAGTGGTCTAAAGTTCCCGGATACGGCGCGAATTCCCCAGAGCTCATTCTGTCGTTCTTCCATCCTCGTTATGTTTACCGGGGATATCAGCTCCGTGTGTGGTATGGCGAAGACTTGATGAATTGGGCCGAAGGAGATAACGCTGGAAGGGTCTGCTTTGATGTCTATGCCAGCTACGTCTGAACAGTTCTACACTACCTCCGTGCAAGAACTGATTTTTTGCTAGCTTGCTATCATTGCTTTAAAGGCTTGACTAGTTTGATTGGGAAAAGTTAAATAAGCTGCGCATACTGCCTCAAATAAACCAGGGGAATTTGATAATTACAACAGCTGTCTGTTTTCATCTCCATTGCAGTCTTAACCTCTACTGTTCACCTGACCCTCTCGTTACCAAACTTAATTGATACCAAATTCTAAATGTTAAGAACTTTGGACTCCAAAACCATAGCAAATAATCCATTCACGTAATGAACGCTAAACCAAACAAACAAAAACACCCTCCCTGAAAATGTGGTCTTGTGAGTTCAGTTTTTTCTCTAAAAGACAAATAACGACATGAAAAGGGAGGGGCCCTTTAACCCCAAAATTTCCGGATTAAACAACCAACTCCCTTCCTTGAGAAATTAAATTTTGTTCGTGTCGATCAGTTCGAAGCTTCAACATCCTCCCGAGAATTTGAACTTTTAAAGATTGGTTTGATTTAAATTCCGCCCCTCGGGGCCAATGCAATGCCAGAAATGTTGTAACCGCGCGAAGAGTGGGACGAGAGTTCGCGCGTGTACCGCGCGCGCATTAAACATGACTCTTCGTCGCAAAATGAATCTTTATGACGTAACGTATAACGCGAGCTGTAAACAAAATGTGACAACCAAAATGTCACTATCAAACACACTGTCCCTGTTATTCGGCGAATTAGAGCCGTGGGTCGTGATAACTCTTGGCTTTGTGCATATTTTAATAGTTTCCCTCATAGTTTTGTACAGACACAAATTGACAGAGAATGCAAAGCCTACGCCGCAGATAGTATTGACACCTCCGTCAACTGATCCATCAATTAATGAAAATATTGTGAAGGTAAAAGGAAACAGTTTGTATTTAATGTTGTATTCCGTGAAAGGTTTTTCGAAGGGTGCCGAGGAGTACTTTTTAGAGACATTACTTGCAAAACTGAAAAAAATACATATTTCATGATGGACGGAAGAGCGGTTGTTTAGAGTTTATACGTAATTGGATAAACTGCAACAAAAACAATATGAATAATCTTCGCGAGCATAGGAAGTCCAAAAATTAAGAGTCCATCAAGAAGACTTGCACCTCAGTCCTTTCAGACAAACGCCTTAAGAGCAAATTGCTTCTAGTTATTCCTGTGAATACTAACGTGATTCGCCTCAGTACTATTCACGAGTGATAGTTACTTAAGTCAAGGACAATGATTAACGTATCCACAACCATATTGGTCGGCCAGTTCATCGTGGATGTCTCTTGAAAGAAGGCCAGCATGAGTTCCTCGAACACCAAATTTTCTGAATCAGTTTGCTTGACACGTAATTAGAAACTGCGTAATTTCGCGCACAAATAATTAAAATTATTCATACCGCTGTAAAAGCTAACAGAACACTAGAGGTCATCATACACTGCTGTTTTTCCCTATAGGAAGAAAACAGCTCTTCAAACAGTGACATTGAAAATTGCTTTTAGAATCATCGAGACCCTGTCCGATAATGAAGTTCCCAGAAATATGTAAAATGCGGTCTGTTTTCAAATTCATCACAGTAGAAAGTTCTCCATCACTATAAATATTTACACTAACAGCTAATCTGCGCCATGTGAAACAAACGTGATGCCATTGATTGTCTGTTAGTCGCAGACTTGTTGTGTTCCTGAAAAAATGAATGAGAATAGAGTCAAAATTACCAGGTTCACGTATTGAAAAGAAAAACTCGCCATCATTTTTCCCAAGAGAGCAGGATAAAAAATCATGCAATCTGATTGTTGCAAACCTTAGAGCGGGAAATCCTTTTTCTTATCTCTGCCCAAAAACCTGAGTTACAATAGAGCGAGGAGTTGTTTGGCGGTTGAGCGTGATGAGTGCAGTTCGTAAAAATATTTCGATCAGGTTTGCTGCGTCGTTATCGCACGATACTCACCCTTTGTCCTCACCGTATCTGAAATCCAGATTGCCATCTGAAGATACCGCGAGAAGAAAACTATCATTCATGGAGTCTTTATTGTACGGGACGTATTGAAAGAGAGTTCCCTTTTCTTCCGTCTTATACCATGCACATGCTGTGAACCTCTTCACAGTGTCTTTGACCGAAAAGCTGGTGTTGGCAACATTTTTCGTCGAACGGGTCGGAAAGTGAAGAGTGAAGTCACTTTCTTCCTCTACAGACAGTAATATAAAATTTACACATGAATTATTAATCATCACTCTGGTAAAATTTTTTTATCGATATCTAAATTCAGTTACCTCCTAGAAAAGCCGAAGCCAGTCCTTTTTATAAAAGAGAGAAATACTGTGTCATTACGGTTTGATTTATTTATAAGTATTAGGGGGGCACTATGGTAATCAGCCAATAAGGAAAGAGGATTTAAACCACGTAATACTCACGAACCAATCATTGAAGTATATGATTGGTTCATTCGTTCTACGTGATACAAAATACTCTTCTCTTATTGGTTGTACCAAAGTGCCCCCTTATTAACTCACCCACTATCCGACCTTGCCAAGAGTTTCCTTAATGATACAGCTTTTATGACACAACTCCTGGAAAAATCTCCTAAGAAAAATATTCCAGCACGTCTTCATAGGAAATACCTTTGTGGACGTCTTCTGAATTAATAGCTTCCTTCACAGGTAAAAGCACTTCTGGAATATCATCCTTAAGAGCAAACCAGGAAAAGACGTTACCGCTCTCTCTGCCATTTCCACGGTATAAGGCGACAATGGTACGTTTCTCCAAGATAGTTCCCCAGATATTAAGACCACCCACGTAACCAGCTAGTGCAGATTGACCGAAAGCTCTTCCTAAAACCAATTTGGTTTGTGCTGGGAAGGAGGAAACGCGTTGTAACTCATCGATACTGGCTACTTAGAGAGAATATGACGTAGCGCCTGACAGGCAGCACGCGTTTTTTCCTGCTCCGTGATTCTAAGCGAACTTTCTTCAAATTTTACATGGCGATATTTTATTCAAGAGCGGCACTGAATGCCATTTTATCTTCAACGACGAAGAAGTCGCTCGGTTGTGAGTTATGGCGCAACATATCTGATCTGGGAATAACACGGCAAAGACCTACACGTCGAGGGACAAGAGCAGGACAGCGCAAACAAAGGCAGATTGGGATTTGCATGGGGAATGGAGCACGCAAGACTCAGCAATTTCCGAACTTTAATGGGTGTTTCTTTGCCAAGAACTTCCTTCACAGGAAACCTCATTTACATAACCAACTGGCGAACATATTAAATATTCAAAATGACACCTTTCCACGTAGCAATCTAAACAACTGCATTGTTATAGATTGCACCAAGGAAAACAGAGCAGCCAGTACTGAATGGTCACCCAAAGTTCCTAAGATCATGTTAGCGAATGTCATGTCTTTAGCCCCCAAAATGGATGAAGTTAGCGAGTTTATCACTCGTAATCATATCAACCTTGCGTTCGTTACGGAAACCTGGCTAAAGGACTCTGTGTTGGACACCGTTGTTGACATCCCCGGGTTTGCTATTGTGCGTGAGGACAGGAAGACACTAGAACACGGTGGTGTGTGTGTCTATATTCAAGAAAAACGGTGCAAATATAAACAACTGAACGATTTAAAGTGCTGTGATAATCATGAGACATTGTGGCTCCATCTAAGACCAAACCGCCTCCCCCGGGGGTTTTCCTGCATAATCGCGGCAGTGATCTATCACCCCCAAGGCCGATGGGACATCTATCCGGGAGCATTTGTTCCAGTCCCTCGTCCTAGCGGAGACGCGATATCCCAACTGTGGATTGGTCGTCACAGGAGATTTCAACCGCTTGGATATTAAGGGCTTGCTGAATCACTTTCGTCTCCAGCAAATAGTTCAAGTTCAGACCCGGAAGGATGCCATATTAGACTTGGTGCTCACTAACATGCAAGAATACTATAATCCGCCACAAGCCTACCCTCCATTCGGGTTGTCGGATCACAACGCTGTTGTTGTGTCGCCAAAAGATGGTAAACGTGATGTAAACAGAAAGCACGTTGTTAAAAGGCGTGACTTACGTGAGAGTAACAAGGCTGCCTTGGGGAGATATCTAACCTCTATTGATTGGCCTTTATTGTTCGCTCCTACGGATAGTTGCCAGGAAAAGTGGGAGATTTTCCACACTGCTGTACATACAGGGCTTGATATTCTGATGCCTGAGAAAGAAATTCGCACCTGTAGTGCGGACGCTCCTTGGATTGACCATAAGCTGAAGTCAATGATTTTGAAAAGACAAAAAGCGTTCAAATCATATGGCGGCGACTCTGCCCAATTCAAGTTCTTCCGAAATCTGGTTAACCGGGAAAGAAAGGCATGCAGAGCTAAATATTATGAAGTGAGAATTCAGAATTTAAGACAAGAAGCCCCAAAGAAATGGTGGGACGAAGTAAAGCGTCTGAGCGGCTCAAAAAGGAAAAATGGCGACCTTCTGAGCCAGATTGACGTGGAAGGTTTTTCAGAATTGTCATTAATAGAAAAGGCCAACACCATCAATGCCGCGTTTTTAGAACCGCTGGAGGAGTACAGACTGCCAACTCCACTAGAGTTTCTCCCCATGGAGGCGAATACAACACCAGAGATCCTGCACGTGGGTGAAC